ATACCTACCAAAAGTCTTGTCGATAGCAAAGGCTCTGCCCCTGCAGCTACACCCAGTGCGTACCTTCACAAGAAGAACCATGCCACTTTTCTAATAACGCCCTAGAACAAAGATCTGGCTGCAAAGCTACACGCAAATAACCCAAGCCAGTTCACAGACCCAAATCACAAACCAGAGATTGCCCTGGCTCTTGGCGACTTTGAGGCTTTTTGTGGGTTCAAGCCTCTTGGAGAGATTGCCCTTTTGATGAAGCTCCCACCGCTCCAGGGCTTCATGCCTGAGGTCACAAAGCCGACATTTGACGACCAGCAGTTGAAGCATGTTGTCAAGACAATGCTCACAGCTTCCGAGGATACTGTCCGTAAGACCAATGATGCCCTGATGAAGATACCAAAAGAGGAATTTGGCGTTTCCAGCTACATTCCCGAGATGATACCTCGTCTGGCAGAACAGTACGATAAGGCTGACAACGGAACGCTCGTTGCTCTCGTCACCATGAACTACTTGAAGCTCAAGGCTGGTGAAAGTATTTATATTCCCGCCGATGGCATTCATGCCTACCTGTCTGGTGACATTATCGAGTGCATGGCTCGATCAAACAACGTACTCAACACTGGTTTCTGTCCCCGTGCTGATCGCGACAATATCGACATGTTCTGCTCAGTTCTTACGTTCACGCCACACAACGCAAAGGAAGCCATTCTACCGCCACAAGCCTTCGACAGAAGCAAAAACGGCAAGACGCAGATGTATGCACCTCCCCTTAGCGAGTTCAATATGCTAGCAACAACAATCAGTGCCGGCGATTCCGAGACAATTGGGTCACTTGGTGGACCCAGCGTCATGATTGTAACCGAGGGCGAAGGTACTATGAAGGGCAATGGGAAGGAGTACAAGCTGAGCGATGGCTATATTTTCTTTATCGGCCCCGGCGTAGACCTGGAGTTTAACGCCACCAAGCAGCTAAAGGCATTTACAGCTTTTGCTGAGTAAATCACTGTAACAGTAAGAAAGGAATAATGGAATGCGAATGACATTGATTGAGGCTCTCAGGCCGCCACGGAGGTGACGTGAATACCGATTGGAGGGGATTAGAGCTTCCCCGCACTCAGCAACGTGCATGAACACCAACAGCTGTCTGGGAATCAATACACTTGGAAAGTCTTATATGCGCACAGTCTGAAAGCGTATTACAAGCCGGAAACTCTTCGGATCCGCACGCATACGTACTGGGACTTCCCCACAAGTATCCTTGCTTCCCCGCACTTTGACTGGGAACCCCCCTCTGCAGCTCAGCTGTAGCTATAAAACCCCGCAAGGGAGCTTCATGCTGTGAGAATGAAAAAAAGACACTCTTCTGTCTGCTTGCCCACTGCGTCTTTGTCTTCGATAAAAATTACAAAAGAACGTGGTTGTTTAGATCGTGGGCGATTGAAACTTGGCAGGAACGCGTGTTAGAACAACAGGCGACTGACGTTGGAACATCATCCTAGTAGTAAAGCCTCAGAGCCGGAAGCATTCGGTAAGCTTATTTTCGGGGTGCCAAACCAGAAAATTCGCATTGATTTTGATTTCAGCATTCTAAATCTATTTCTACAATTCATTTACTAACATTACATCTATCGCCCTCAGAAGAGCATAAATTCATCACCATGGCCAGCCCAGCAACCGCAAAACGCGACTCCATGGACGCGACAGGAAGCAGCCTTGAGACGAAAATGAAAGCCGCTTCCCTTGAGCAGCTGACGCGCAAGCGACCGTTAGCTCTGACGGACCTTCCGCCCTCTGTCCGCAACAACATCTACAGATACTGTTTAGACACTGAGATGGTCAACCTGGGCGAGCCAAACGTATCCTATACACACAAGATAGGCGACGGCGTACTCAAATTTGCAGCCTCACGAAAGCCCTTCCCAATCAATAGCAGTCTGTTCTACGTCAACAAAGGGTTTAGTAAAGACGCACTGCGCTACTTTTATGAGAAGAACCTGTGGGTAAGACTAGATGTATACACGGCGGATGCACGGCACGCAAAGACTTTGCTGGAAGATTCTGGTCTGTTGTTTTCTACTGCTTCGCCAGATGCTGTCGAAAAGGCAACTCAGCATGCTCTCGAGGTGGTGCTGGTGGAAAAGAACTCTGCGCAGAAACGCGCAAGCGTCATGTTTCCAGCGCAGTACCTACCCCGTCTGATCAACTTCTTCGATCAAGCAAGTCGCGCAACGGCAACTTGGGCGCCTATGCACACACTCTTCTTGACCGTGATGAACACATACGACTTTCCCATTTCACGACTCCAAGGCGACTTGCTCGAGCCATTCAGACTACTCTCCAACTTCGGCGGCGTCACTGTTGACAGCAAGAACCTCCTACCACGATACTCAGAAGGACTGCAAAGCATGATGACAGAAAAGAGCTTCACAGCCGAATCCTATCTCACCCGCGTAACCGAGCTAGCAGATCTCTCCGACTCTGCGCGCGAAAAAGAAGACTACACCCTCGCAAACGAGTACGCAAACGCCGTCATCATAGCCCTGACATACGGCTACCTAACCCACCCCGAAATCCTCCACTCGCAAGACGAATCCTTCAGCAAAGCCATCCAGCGCCTACGCTGGCGCACAGAACTCGGGTTGGGCATTTCCCTCTCCATCCCCCTGCGTAGCCTAACCTCTATAAAACACTGGATGCATACCCCAAACCCCACACCTGAAATCAAGAAAGCAGCAAGGGATCTACTGTTAGCTGAGACGTCAGTGTCCAAAGCCCTAAGTCTCGTTACGGACTCCCCCTCTCCAGCATCAAACCCCTGGTTCCACTCGCTCCCTATTGAACTCATCCCAAACAACAAGCCAACCTTCTTCTCTGAGCGCGAAAAGGCGCAGACGTGGTATGCGCTAGGTACTGTACACATGGCGTTGGGCGAAAACATCTTCGCATGCGGGGACATGGAGCGCGCGTTGGAGCTTTGGGGGAAGGAGAGTGGGGTTGATGAGGAAGACGGGTTGAGGGGCAGGATTGAGGAAGCGTTTGAGAGGGCGAGGAAGGGGATTGACGGGGATGCTGAGAGTATGTGGGTTGGAGAGATTAGGCCGGGAACGGGGTTGAAGAGGGCGGCGAGATTGGCCAGAGGGTTGTAGTTGGTTCTTTCGTATCGATACATAATATGTGTAGAGAGAGAGGGGGGGGGGATTAAAGGACTTAGAGATACATCAAGGATACACATCTTCGAGTAGCATCAATTAGAAGAGAAAAAGGTGAAAGTCTTTCCTTATGACATCAGAGTTTCAAGTGACAAGCATGTAGCTGACGAAGAGGTACCGCACAATAAGTATTGCCCAAGTTCCATGGTATACATACGGTATTTTTACAAAGCCGGCATATAAATCATACAACCCCGCTTAGGCGCGCGGCTGACTTGACACAGGCTTGTTGCTCGAATTAACAAGCGCAGCCCAAGCATCACCACGCGCAGTCTTCTCCTGCACAGATCCCTCGTAGATACCCCGCAGACTACCAGAAGCAGATACTGTCCTGCGACGATCCTCCAACATGGACTCGATATAATCGTCCTGGCCGCCCGCTGCCTTTGCCTTAATGGCCAAGTCTGCCTTGTGAATCGCCCGTTCAAGGTATTTCCGCCTTTCCGCGTCCATAGTCTGGTTGGTGGAAGCGGTTTCCGCCTCTGTGATTACCTTTGCGTACTCCGCCTTTTGCGCGGCGCGGAAAGCTGCTTCGCCGCCAGCTGCTTGCACGCGAGCAGCATATGTGGCTTCGGCAGCTTGCTTGTTGGGCCGAGCAGCTGCTTTCCAAGCCTCTATGCTACCAGCCTCTTCAATCTCCTTTCGCTTACGCTGGTTGTAGGCAATCTTCATGGCAGTGTGGTCTTTGATGTTGGGCAGGTTGAAGCGGTTCCGAATTTCCTGCAAGTCCTCGACCGTGAAACCGGCTTCTTTGTATCTCCTGTAGTTTTTTTGTTTGAGGGAAACGGCTGCTTCTTTGCGCTCTTTTGCTCGGATGAAGGCTAGTTTGAGGCCCTCCTCCTCGCTATCTACGAGACCTCGGGTCAAGTACCGCTGTGCAGCCTTGACGGCTTTGAGGTATTCATTGGCAGCAAAGTCCGCAGTTCCCTTCTCATACTTTTCAAGCAGCTCACTCTCGAGTGAGGGACTCTCAGGTGCGTCAGTTTCTTCTGGTGCCCACATTTGTTGCTCTTCGCTTTCCAGAAACTCTTTGCTTTCAAGTCCAGATGTGCCTTCAGCCGCTTTGCGTTCCGCCATCATCTGAGGAGTTGGCCATTGCTTGTCGATTGTGGGTTGGTCAAGTCCCAGGGCCGCAGCATCGGATCGCAATCGCTCAATAACCTCTGGCTTCTGCATGAGCGTCCAACGGAGTGCCCATCCCATAGGCCCAAGCTCTTTGATGCGTGCCACATTGTCCTTGAGCAGATACTCGTCCAGTCCACCTTCACGATCCATTGTCTTGAGCACCTTGGCTGTGATGCGCAATTTTATCCTCTTCTTTAATGCGACTGAGTACAGACTCTTGGATAAGACGTTTGGCTGCCATTTCCGCCGGGTTTTGGTCTCGGTTTCCTTAGAGACATTGTTGCCGAACCGTATCATCTGCTCACCATAGAGACCCTTGTTTGCTTGCTTGAATAGCCTGTGCTCGCCATATGGGTATGCCGGAATATATGCATCTTTGGGAATGACATTTTTGGGAAGGTGGGAGCCGAGATCACCGCCGCGTCGCCGTTGGAGAGGGTTCTTCACTGCGGGCGCGGGCGCAGTGGTTGCATACGTTCGCTGCGCCTGTTGAGCAGAGCGGCCAACAGCTCCTGCGGCCGGAATGCGTCCGGAGAGCAATTGGCATGGGGCATGCATGGTAGGTGTGACGGGGAGCATGCGAAGTGCCCGTTGTGATGAATGGTTAATGTGCTCGGTGGTCCGCAAATTCGAGAAGCCCACAGCACGGACCCCCAACTTCACGTTTGTCCCATGTACAATCACGGGCGGAGCAAACCACTGGGACGACACAGCGGACACACAACAGCTCATTAGGCACATCTGTATATACAAAAAACCAGCGTTGATTCTGGCAGTCGAATATGGCAAACATATCAGAATCTTCTCAACCGTCCACAGCCAACATTGCAGCTGCATGTGCCATCCTCGCTGGCGTCACTGGCTACATGCTCGGGCAGGCAAAATCTCTCGGCTTCTTTGGCGGAAGTCCTATCTCACAGCCAGTAAAATCGAAGAAAGAAAAGGCAGACGACTCGGAAGAAGAGTCGAGCGACGACGAGGACCACAGCACACCAGCCGACTTTGCAGGCCAGGAAGAATGCAAAATGGTCCTAGTAGTGCGAACAGATCTCGGCATGACAAAGGGTACTGCTGTTCTCCACCCCTAGTAGGAAATATTGCCTGACCTTTGACACAGGCAAGATTGGTGCGCAGTGCGGGCATGCAACACTGGCTTGCTACAAACACTTCCTCCGAACCTCGCCAGACTCCAATATACTCAAGCGTTGGGAGCGGCTAGGGCAAGCCAAGGTCGCGTTGCAGGTCAAGAGTGAAGAAGAGCTGGAGCTGTTGCAGGCACAAGCACTGAGTCTGGGTCTGGTAGCACACATTATCCATGACGCTGGGCGAACACAGATTGCAAGCGGAAGTGCGACTGTACTAGGCATTGGACCTGCGCCAAAGAGTGTCATAGATCAGGTCACCGGGCATCTCAAGCTGCTGTAAAAGTACTGGCTCCGAAAGCCATGCAACACAATTTTGGGGCCTTAAAGTGGACCGGGAGAAAATGGCGACGCGCCATGTCTCAGTGATGCCTCGTATGCATATACAGCGGCAAGAGCTCAAGCAAAGACTTTCAGAAAAAAAAACCGTCAGTCGTGTGCGGAGCTAATGGTATTCTTTACAAATACATCCAAATCGCAGGAATTGCATCTGAAGCACCATTGCAGTTGCGACAGTGCCTTTGCGAGTATCCAAAAGGAGAAGAAAATTTATTCCCTGCACAGGTTACACGGCAGCAGAGTGAAGCAAATGTGGGCCTAGTAGTGTGATTTTCGTCGCCTATGGGAATGTTGGCAAGGACGCGATATGTGTTGGCTCTTCAGTGACGTGTGCTATTCAGGTAAATCTGTCGGTAGCCATAAGGTGGATCACGGTTGCTCTGCAAATGCCATTCGCCATGTGTGGGTACTAGGCGGGTTTCTGCACTCCTGAAATCAATCTTCTGATATAGGGGTGTTTGCCTATTGGTAATGGGTTGGTGTTGCAGAAGACGTATGGTGTGCCAGCAACGATGGGCATAGAGTTGGTGGCGTATCAAGAATGAGACTGTATGGAGACAATACACATAGCATCTCGTACTATGTGTAACGAGCTATAACTTGCATACGCAACGTGTGTACCTTGGCGATGGTCGTACACAAACCGATGAGACGCAGCCAAAGATAACCGAGTCGGAAAAAGTGCTCTCACATGGGTACTGATGTGTCAAATGACAACCTTTCCTGACCCCGGGACATTGTAATGGATGCTTGTTATTCACAGAGTAGGACCAAAAGTTGCGCTGCACCAAAACAGGAACCGAGCGATGGAGAAGGTCGTCATACTATTACTCTATTTGCGTCAAAGCAGCACAAGGTCATGCAACAGCAGCACCTTTCCACCAGCTCGTGGCGCCCAAGACGAATACCACCACCATGGCATCGCTCACAACGGTGCTGTATATGACGCTGTACCTGCCAACCGTCCTAACATATCCTGCATACGGCTCGGGCAAGATACCCGCGACCGTGCTGAGCATGCCACCTCCTTGCAACTGGCCTTTTTCGATGAAATAGCGTGAAGACTGTAGGATAACCTCGAAAGTAGCAAATAGATAGAAAAAGTGCGCAAAGTTGTCGGCTGGCGAAGATTGGGTGGTCCAATCATCGTCGGGCATATTGTCGCGTAAGAACTTGGATCCGGTAAACGGCGTCTGTAACACTATGTAGACAGCGAGTCCTAGGGAGAAGACGGAGTGGACCAGGCGCCAGATCCAGGCTGAAGACTGGTCGGGCGAGGGCTCAGGAACAGCACCCCCACCTTGCATGGCCGAAAGCATGTTGGCAAGGCCTGGTGGTGCACCTGCCTGGCCAGGACCGCCTGGCATACCAGGCATACCCCCCGCACCCGCACCCATCATCTGCTGGAGCATTGCCATCATGGGGTCCTGGGCTGGGTCTGAGGCCTGCCCTGGGCCAAAAGGGCCTGTCTGGTTGGCCTCGGGAGCAAAGGGCGAGGGGAGTCGGGGACGAGATACGGGTGCATAATGGTGTTGTGATATGTCTACCTCATCTGGGTCCGGAGTAGCTGTTCCAGACCCGGAGGGTGTGCGCTGGGGAAAAGGAATTGGGGCAGGCTTGACTGACATGCGGTTAGCCGTCTGTTTTATGGACTCGGGGGAGTTTTCCGAACGACGAGGCTGTACGCACCCGGAACATCCTTCTCAACTTCACTGAGATCCCTGGGCGGGCCGCCCTGCAGTGCCGTGATCTGCTGCAGACGAGAAGCGCCGCTCTTTGCTGCTAGACGCTCTCTGCGTAATCTGGCCTTTGTCTGGGCGGGCGACTCGCCAGGCAGTGCGCCCGTTGCGGAGACAGGCGAGTCGGCCATGTCCAAGTGGGATGGTGGGCGAGGAGAGAGGAAGCTCGCAACGATATCCTGACTATGCTCGCAGTGTTGGCAACACGATGCGGTCGTGTGTCGTGGTTGCAGTGGGTGGTGCAAGGGCTGAGGTCATGGCCTTGGCGTCTCTCGCTAGCGTGTATGCAGCTCGTCCCTCCTTTCACCTCGACCCAAGCCCCTCCCCCTTCCCCGCCAAGTGCGAGCCGTCTTCTTCTTACCTAAACGCCAGGCCGCCTGTACACCTACGACATGACTGCTTCATCTTTTCGTAGCACACGCGGTACGGGCCGTCATACTAGCATCTATCCTCATCTCACCGTATCATCTTGAGCGCCCCTTTCGTACTTAGCATTTTTGTATCACTCATCATTGTCATAACCCCCTCAGGGATGGTCGCATGCAGTGCCACCCCAACGCTACCTGGGTCTTCTTCCGGGAATAGCTGCACCCGACGCTCAGGCTTTTGGGCCACGGCAGATTATCCTGGCCACCTGGGTGTGCATGTTAGGCTTTTTTGGAGCTGCTAACGAGCCTAGAGCTGGATTCGCCCAGCTCCCTTGGGGTCTTGATCATCACAGCCACATCATAATCATTCCTACCGTCACCCACCAGCGCCATCAGCTCCTCAACCCAGCGCTTCTAGCGGCGCGGTCGCACGGGAGCGAAGCCGGTTGGTACTGCCCCACGATCCTTCGGATGCTGGTTCTGTATTCCTCTCTATATTCAGCTCCACATTGTTCCTTCGCCCCCTGATGTTGCAACAACTATGTTTACTTGTTATCGGCTCTAGCCCTATCACAGGCCACGAGTCTTCTGTATTGCGCCCCGCAGACTCCCACAGGGCTTGTAAAAAGGACACACAGTTATTATTTGAAAAAAGACAGCCTTAATGTATTCTTCTATGACATCGTCGACAGGAGATTGGTGGCGCTCCACAAGGTGCCTGCGTGCTTGGAGAATATCTGGCATTCTCCGTAGACCCACATTGGGTCCGGCTGCAACCATTCAAGCGGCAAGGACGTGTATTCGTTGTATCCACATTACCACCGCGCGAGCAACACTCCATGCCTAAGGCGTCGTTGCACAGCATGTAGCAGATTCGACAGATAACTTTTCCGCCGTAAAAAGCAAGTACTTCATTTCATGTATCATCCTTATACTCTTCCTTCCATCCCACCTTCACACATGAAGTTTCTATCCCAGATCTCGTCCTCTTCTCTTAATATATGCAAACATGTTCGCAGCAAGCATCAAGTCCAAGACCCAATCCCTACGCCTACAAAGCTCTCGCTTGATGCCATTGTCACAGCAATACCGAGCCCAATCGAATTTGAGCAATAACAAGTCCTACTGGAGCCACATCCCGTCTTGGAAAGGTGTTTCCAACGATGAGTTTGTGTCATATCGGTGGCAGGTATGTTGTTTAAAGCATCTTATCAATCTCCAGCTATGCCAAGTATGTCTTCTTGAGTAACCAATCCCTTTCCTGTAGCTGCGAAATACTGTCTCAGACAAACTCAAACTTTACAAATTCCTTGACGAGGTTCTGCCGGAGAGACTAGGCTCTACCGAGAACGAACAATTGAAAAGGATCCGGACAAGAACCAACTTTATTGAGGATGCTGTACGTAACAATATTTTCACTAGTTATCTCAAACTGTTCATCAATGTTAATATCATGTTAGATTGCTGCCATCAAGTTGGCACCGATGGCCATTCGCTTAACACCCCATGTCCTCTCGTTGATTGACTGGAACAACCCTTTGGACGACCCAATCCGGAGACAGTTTCTTCCTCTCAGGAGTAGTATCATCCCAGACCATAAGTATCTCGAGTTGGACTCATTGCATGAGGAGCAAGACAGTCCCGTTCCTGGTCTGGTACATCGTTATCCTGGACGAGCTTTGTTTTTAGCCACATCAATATGCCCCGTCTACTGTCGCTTTTGCACCCGATCATACGCAGTTGGTGGTAATACTGATACAGTATCGAAAAAGCCACAAAAACCTAGCCGGAAGCGATGGGAAGTTGTATTCGAGCACATTGCCAACGATAAATCTCTTCAAGACATTGTTGTTTCAGGCGGAGACTCTTACTTCTTGCAACCAGACCACGTCAGAGAGATTGGTGAAAGGCTGCTGGACATCCCTCACATCAAGCGCGTTCGCTTTGCCTCGAAAGGACTGGCCGTTGCGCCTGGTCGTATTCTCGATGATTCAGACCCCTGGACTGACAATCTGATCGCTGTATCCAACAAAGGCCGAGAGTAAGATGCTTCATTCCCAAGTTAACAGATGCGTTATCGGCTAACAAAATTCTCCAATCTTATAGAATGGGAAAGCAAGTGTGCTTACACACTCATATCAACCATGCAAATGAAATTACTTGGATAACAAGGCTCGCTGCAAATAAACTATTCAAGCACGGTGTTATTGTCCGCAACCAGTCAGTTTTGTTGAAAGGGGTCAACAATACCTTCACGGCACTGTCCGATCTCATCAAGTCGCTGTCCGATATCAACATTCAGCCGTACTATGTGTATCAATGCGACATGGTACAAGGCATTGAGGATCTTCGTACCCCCCTCCACGAGATTATTGACCTGGACAAACAAATACGGGGAACTCTTTCGGGCTTTATGATGCCATCATTTGTAATCGATCTTCCTGGAGGCGGCGGAAAACGGCTTGTATCGACCTATGAGAAGTACGAACATGGTATTGCTACATACAAGGCCCCTGGTCTCCCTGGCGCCAAGGGCGAAATGACGTACACCTACCATGATCCCAAGCCTGTCAAAACAGCCGTCCTCGAAGAGTTCCAGCAACGCCAACTCGAAGCGCTCGAACGGGGAGAGACGCTAGAACAATTCTTCGCTCAATCAGCTGCTCACTTACCGCGTTCACCTTTGCCAAATCCTTCATCAAATCAGAACCCTCTGCGCCCACAAACTACATCAACAGACATCGTCCCGGAATTCTGGGCTCCTACTCCAAAGCCAGCATATGCCTACTCTCAGGGAATGTGATTGCCTGTCACACTCAACCACAAACATACGAGCCCCACGTTGACCGAGCCGGCTTCTCCACCTGATACCACGACACCCACACAAAAAAAAGAGGAATACATTGTTGTTAGAATTTAGGTCGCATCTTCCCTTTTCACAACCGGAAAACAAAATGTACAAAATGGTGAGACGGGCGTATGGGACTTGTTCGTGTACCTGTACATATCTGTATGTGCACAGAGTCTTTTGTTCATTCCCTCGATATCTTTTTCGTACTTGCTACCCATCATCTATCCCTTCGTATTTTTTCCTCTCTCTGGCTTACGAGCAAGAGTGCTGCCTGTTATGGCGCCCCCAAAAATGTTTCGGTTCTGTCCTTGTAATACATTCACCACAAAAACTGTCTTAGTAGATTTTACAATCAAATAAAAGTATTATATATGCTTGCTAAAACTAATTTTCCTCCCTTTACTATCAATCTGATAATCTGTGTATTCCTCATTTAAGCAAATCCAGCTTCATCACGAACAACGGCAAAAAGAGCAAGAAAGATAGTAAGCAGGGAACGCGCAATTTTGAAAAAAGAAGTCATAACGTCTTGAATTTCCATATCAAAAAAAAGTTAACTTGCACATCCCTTCTTCAGCCCTCTACATACGTGCATCATTGCACTCCCGGCAGCCGTTTAAGTCATGTCGACTCGCATCTTTCTTTTCCAACATTTGGCGACGAAAAAAAGACAAGGGGTTTGTCCTGCCACCACCTCCTCCCTTCAGCGCTACTATGGCTATGCTTCGTCCTTTCTCTCTTTCTCTCTCTCCCTTTGCCGCTACCGTCGCCCATATAGTACAAAGAACAGATTATGTGACCCAGGTGGAAATATCTGAGCGAACAAAACAGCGCGCAAAAAAACAAAAAAACAAAAAAACAGACAAACAGCAACAACAGTTAGAGCGGGTTATGTGAATAGAGCACAAACGCACACACACACAAATGACAAAGATGCCCCATACGCCACAAAGATGAGACGAGAGAGAGAGAAAGAGATTTGCGCAAAAGACAGACAAGAACGGCAAACTACCAAACGAAACAACGCAATTCCGCCCAAGAGGAAAAAAAGAGTTGGAAATGGGGTAATAAATGGGGAGAGATCTAACGCCGTTGAAGGACTTGCTTTGAGAAGCAAAAAAAGTGGGGGAGGCAACGCCGCGCTATACAAGAGGTAGAGGGATGCGATCAACGTAGCGGAAGCCATGAAAAGCGTTGCGAACAAGCAATGCAAATACACAAATGGGAAGACCAAGAGGGGAGAAGGAGGGGCGAAGAAAAAGAAGAGGAAGAACAAGGCTAATAATTAGTTGCCTGCCTTCATCCTCTTGTTGCCTCCTCCGACTCTTGGGCTTTGCTTGACTTTTGCTGCGCCATTCATGTCTCCGCCGTCATCCATTTCCATCTTTGCTGTACTTCGCCGCCGTTTGTTGTTCATGTTTGGCGATGTGTTGACGCTCATTGTGTGCGAACTAGTGCTTTGCTGCTTCATCATAGGCTGTGAATGAGGTGATGGCGTATGATTGAAATGAGGTGACCCACTCGATCCATTAGGAAGCAACGAGTTCTGCATCGCAGGCGACATGAACATTTGGCCGGGTTGGCCAGGTCCTGAGGGTCGTGCTCCTGCTGGCATATTAGGCTGCATACCTTGACCAGACTGCTGTCCTTGATTTGGGCCCTGTGGGCCTTGCAGCATTTGGTTGTTGGACATGGTTGCGTTCCAGGACTCGAGGGCTTCGCTTGGTTTCATGTGAGGGTTCTCGAGATAGTGCGCCATCAAGCTAGTCATGTGATTCATGGGCTCGTATATCTAGTCTTGTCAGTGTCAATTTCAATGGAAACAATGCAATGCGTAGTCTTACCTCGAGATAATTCTGCAAGCCGTGTGGTAAGCCATAGTCTGTAGCACCAGCACTAATCAGCTTGTTGAGTGGTAGATACGGTTCTGGTGGTTCTTGTCCGGCTCGTTGTAGTGCTTGTTTCTTGTTCTTCATCCTTGGAGATTGGGTCGGGTTCATTTGGTTAGGCGATGGCTGCACGAACATCTGTCTTAGAGCATTGAGCGGCAGGAATTGTTCGTGGCCGGTGCCATCGAACATTAACCATTCCATCTTGTCTGACCCAGACCAGAAGGCAGTCAGCTTGCCATGATAGACAACCTGGCACGAGTTTTTGTACGTGTAGATTAACTTGGCTCGGTCACAAGTGACCTTAACCTCGTTAGGCCCAACCTTCTCGTTAGCTCCATCCAAGGTGATCTGCAGACTTGTGACGTCGGTATTGAAGAGTGTGTAGAAGTACCGCGGTAGCGCAGCGTAAACAATCTCAAACTGCTTGGTTCTCTCTGTACTTGATGAGCAGACCACGTGAATAAAAGACCCGGTTTCCATGAAGAACTTGTCCACGAAAGCCTGCCATCTCTCCACGTTGTTGTTCTTCCTGTTTTCCTCAGGTGCCATGTCGAACCTTCCTATTTGATCGGTAAAGTTCAACAACTTCAGCGTACCCTGGCCAAGAGCATGCTTGTTCTGTTGCATCAATGCCATGTTACGAGCGTGATTTTGCTGTGCGTTTGCTTGTGCCTGGGCCTGAGCTTGTTGCATTAACGCTGGATTTCGTACTTGAAGGGTCGCTTGTTGGGGTAGGTTAGGTGGTTGAGTGGGAGCAGAAGTCTGCTGTTGCGCTGAAGGACCGGACTGTGGCTGCTGCTGTTGTTGTTGAGCTGGCTGTGGTTGTTGCTGTTGTGGTTGTTGTTGCGGTTGCTGCTGTTGCTGTTGCTGCTGTTGCTGAGCTTGCTGTTGCTGCTGAGCCTGCTGCTGAGCCTGTTGCTGTTGAGCCTGTTGGGCCTGTTGCTGCTGAGCTTGTTGCTGATGTTGTTGTTGCTGCTGCTGTGCCTGTTGCTGGGCTTGCTGCTGGGCTTGCTGCTGGGCTTGCTGCTGAGCCTGTTGCTGAGCTTGTTGCTGAGCCTGCTGAGCCTGCTGCTGTTGCTGCTGGACTTGCTGTTGCTGCTGTTGATGTTGCTGTTGTTGGAGTTGTTGCTGTTGCTGCTGCTGCGGTGGTGGCTGTGGTTGCTGTTGAGGCGTGGGTTGGGGAGCTGGTGAAGACTGCCCCTGGTGGCTTCCTATTGCTGAAGGTGGACGAAGAGGGCCTTGTTGGGGCTGCGAAGTCTGCTGAGGCCCTTGGTTTCCTCCCTGGCTGTGGTTGCTCGATTGTGATTGAGCATGTTGCATGGCGATGGCCTGTTGCTGCTGCATCTGCTGGTGCTGCTGAGCTTGTTGATGGGCCTGTACCATAGCAGCCTGATGTTGTGGCCCTCCAGGCTGTCCCATCTGCTGCTGCTGCTGGAGCAGGTGTGGCGGGAGGTTGACAAAAGGACCTTGGCCTAGCTGTCCGTTGCGCATCGCCTGCAACTGCTGTGCTTGGGCTGGGTTCATGTTTGCCATGGGATTTTGGAAACCCATACCCATGTTACCTTGTTGATGAGCAAGCATTGCTGCTTGTTGCTGCTGCTGGCGATGCATAAACGCTTGCTGGGCAGTCCTCTGCTGTTGCATGAGTGCGGGATTCACTGCGGCTCTTGTTAGCCAATCTTCAATGTGGAAGGTAGGGGACAGGGGGATATTTACTCATTTGATGTTGCTGCTGTTGCTGCTGCTGCTGCTGAGGAAACATGTGGGCTTGCTGGGGCTGCAAGTGTGAGAGGGCATGGGCATTTGGCCCACCCATGCCGCCGGGCTGCATGCCGCCCATCATAGGGCCTGCCTGACTAACAGGACCATTGGGACCTGAGACGTGTTGCATGCCCGGCGGCATTCCAGGTTGTCCAGGGTTTGGACCTGGGCCTCCCATGCCTGGGTGCGCATGAGGCATGCCCTGTGGGTGCATGCCACCATTGTGTGGGTAGCTTGTGGTCATCATCTTGGTATGTTTTTAATGTGGGCCGCGGCCTCGCAGTCGCGGAAGAGGGCCTAGAAATATAGGATACGCGCAGTGAGAAGCTCGGAATATTGGATGGCAAAGTATGAATAGAGTGACGGAGCGGATAGCAAGATGGGGCGAAGCAACGCTACTGGTCCTGGGTCATACGTGCTCTGGGGGTCGCGTCAAAGGTGTCGTAGGGCGTGATGGGTCAGAGGCGATGAATGACAGTGCAGTTGTCTCAAGGGAGTGCGAAGGGAAGACACGGTGCCGAGATGCGGCAGGGTGATGGGGTGTCCGCGCCGAAGTCGCGATGGGCGCGATGGAGTGTGCTCGGGCGGCGGTCGGTCCTAGGCGGAAATGCAGGCGACAGGGCGAGAGGAGCAAGTATTGTCGCGCAAGAGTGCAGCGCGATACTCACGAGGGAGGGGCGGCGGCGTTGATGTATGCTGCCAGAGCTGGCGCGGTGTCGTGTTCGGTGATATCGTGTCGCATCCGTCCCGCCAGCACAGCAGTGGAGCGGGAACGAGAGGGAGAGAGAGGCGGTACGCGGGCAGCAATGGGCGTGGCGGCGATTCTGTCTATGCACGTCGTGTTATGCGACGGTGCATGTGGTGTAGACTTGGATGTTTGGATCCAGGGCCAGGGACGGTGCCAGGGACGCGGGCGTCGAGTGGTGGAGTTCTGGTGTGGTGAGAGGTGATGGGCGCATGGCCTCGCCGAAGATCAGCGCTGGTTAGGGGGCCGTTTCGGTATCGCGCGAAAAGCTGCGTGGCTGGGCACCCAATCTATCCGGCCGCCAGTGCAGTCAGGCTTCAGAGGGCAGAGAGAGGGCGCACTGGCGCTGGCACAATCCAAACGATGGCACCGCACGGCTGCTCGCGTCTCGATGTGTGCTGGTGCAGGCCGGTGTGCGCAGTCATGGCCTCTTCACCGGCACGCCGCTGTCTTGCTGTCGCCCTCGTCTCTCATGACGCTTGCTAATTCTCCCGCTTACTTCTTCGGGCCCGTCACGTGATGTCGCAACTCTTGGCACGCTAGTTGTGCCTCGCACTTTTCTTCTCTCGCGACCGCAGTCTTTTCTCGCCCACCCTCTCGCTCTGCTTCCCAGCGCGGCCCTGCGCTGCGCAGCGTATGCCTTGCACGCGTATGCGCACACCCACTGGCTCCGGGCGGCGACGTGCAATCTCACGAGCCCCGGAAGCCAGACGCGGTGCATCATGTAAGTTGCCTCCTTTTCTTTGCTTTTTTGGAGTGATTATAGCCTCAGCAACTTCTTTTCCATACCGATTCGACCTTGAAGAAAGCAGAGCTGTCCGGGTGCCTTCGCAGGGCGCCTGCTACTTGCCAGTACTGTCGTCTGACCTTCCCCAATCTCATCGATCAATTTAGCTTTCTCGCCTTGCCTGGTTGCTAACATTGCTCAAGTTTAGAGTTCGCTGTGATTATCCCGACGCATGCCGGCCCTTGGTGCTGACTGGCCAGCATCCACCCTCATACACCAGACGCTGGGTGCGACACGGCGCCCTTGCGGTCAGCCCAAAGCCTAATGAGAATAATGTACACATACATGATGCGGCACTGCTCGGTCGCCTATCTGGTCGCGCTGCAATTCTCAAAGGTCAGTTAGCCCTTTTTTTGCTCGTCTTTCGCCCGCCCCCTTCATGATGAAACATTTCCACATTCGCAGTTTCCACGCTAGCCATCAATTGAACCTACAACCGATGGACAATGAGCGCGAATACCTTCCTTGGATGTCTGATCCTTCAACCCATTCTGTCCCATAGTTGTTCGAGCCTTTTTGCGCAACGACTGACAAGAAATCAACAGACTTTATGCATGAGCTCTTGAAGAATATTGCTTGACGTGACGGATGCTGGCTGGCGCGGAACGTACATAGATATGTAGCAATTATATTTGTTGTTGTAGTGCAAGTCCAGAATTTGTACACTTCCATCTGGTGACGTGACGTCGGCTGTCAACAGCTCCTTGTCGTGTCCGATTGCAGGCACTGGCTATACTAGACGCTAAACCCAGGCCTGTGACCGTGAGCACTGCATTCACATCTCATGTGACCTCGCTCCCAGTTGCAGCTACCCAGGTAGCTCACTAGCAGTTTGTTTTTGAGCGCGAGCCCGTATTAGCGCATGCCTGTCGAGCCAGATGCAAATCGGCGGATATCTACAAACCATGCCACCGTAAATACTACTAAAGCTACAGAGTAAAGGCAGCATGGCATACTTCGGCATGTATGTATCTGCAGCCATTGTGAAGTGCCAAGCGCTAACAGCCCCCCCGGCGTCATCTGTCGCATAACGCTAGAGCACCCTGGTCAGAGCTTCCAACCCACTTCGACGGCTTGACCTTCAACTTCGTCACCCAAACGATCTCCGAGGCTACAGACCGACCGCGGCCCTCGAATCAATCCCGAGCGATACTACATATCCAACGAACCGCTCACCACCGCCATCATGCCTGAAGTAGTGGACCCCCGCATGATTTCGGTGACGCCTAGAATACGATACAACACCATCGGCGGCGTAAACGGTCCACTCGTCATTCTCGACAATGTATGTGGCTCGGAACCATAGCGACACATGAGAAGAAGCTTATGCATCTGGTGGACAGGTCAAATTTCCGCGATACAACGAGATTGTATCTTTGACGCTGCCTGATGGCACCGAGCGCTCTGGCCAAGTCCTCGAAGCTCGAGGTAAGCTACCCCAGATATCGACCCTGTAGGTATGATGCTGATCCAAGCTGCAGGTAATCGCGCCGTCGTTCAGGTAAACTTTGAAAAGCTGAAGCTGCGCGACAACCTTCTCTGACTGCGACACAGGTCTTCGAGGGTACATCCGGTATCGACGTTCAGAAGGTCATTACACCCGCCTCCCACAGAGGATGATAGCTGACTGTCGCAGACCAAAGTTGAGTTCACTGGACATAGTCTGAAGCTCGGTGTGTCCGAGGACATGTTGGGTCGTATCTTTGATGGTTCAGGAAAGCCCATTGACAAGGGCCCAAAGGTCCTCGCTGAGGATTACCTCGACATCAACGGTAGTCCCATCAACCCATACTCTCGAGTCTGTATCCAGTTCGTATTTGTTGCAGTTTGCGACTAACCGTATTCCAGGTGTACCCCGAAGAGATGATCTCGACTGGTATCTCGGCCATTGACACAATGAACTCCATTGCTCGTGGCCAGAAGATTCCCATTTTCTCCTCCTCCGGTCTTCCCCACAACGAAATCGCTGCGCAGATTTGTAGACAAGCTGGCCTAGTCGGAAAGCCTACCAAGGGCGTACACGACGACCACGACGACAACTTCTCCATTGTCTTCGGTGCCATGGGTGTGAACTTGGAGACGAGCCGCTTCTTCACTCGCGACTTCGAGGAGAACGGCAGTATGGAGCGTGTCACATTGTTCCTCAACTTGGCAAACGACCCTACGTAAGCGCCCGGAACTATTGCAACCCTTACTTCTAGCTAATCCAGCATAGTATTGAGCGTATCATTACTCCTCGTCTCGCTCTTACGACCGCCGAATACTACGCCTACCAGCTCGAGAAGCACGTATTGGTCATTCTTACCGATTTGTCTTCCTACTGCGACGCGCTGCGTGAAGTCTCGGCTGCCAGAGAAGAAGTCCCCGGTCGACGTGGTTACCCTGGTTACATGTACACTGATTTGTCCACCATCTACGAGCGCGCAGGACGTGTCGAAGGCCGTAACGGATCAATCACCCAGATTCCCATTCTGACTATGCCTAACGATGGTGTGTATTGCAACATCATAAGCACGGCTGCGTACTGACAATAACAGACATCACACATCCCATTCCTGACTTGACTGGTTACATTACCGAGGGGCAGATCTTCATTGATCGTCAACTCGACAACAAGGGTATCTACCCTCCCATCAACGTCCTCCCATCGCTTTCTCGTCTTATGAAGTCTGCCATTGGTGAGGGCCGCACACGGAAAGATCACGGCGATGTTTCCAACCAGCTTTACGCAAAGTATGCCATTGGTCGTGACGCTGCAGCCATGAAGGCAGTCGTTGGAGAGGAAGCCTTGTCTTCGGAAGACAAGCTATCTCTTGAGTTCCTCGAGAAGTTCGAGCGCTCCTTCATTGCTCAGGGTGCTTACGAATCTCGTTCTATTCACGAGTCTCTCGACCTAGCATGGTCGCTACTCCGCATTTACCCCAAGGAACTTCTCAACCGTATCCCAGCCAAGGTCCTTGACCAGTACTACCAGAGGAGTCGCGGTGGTGCTGATGGCGACAAGAAGAAGAGCAACAAGGACACTAAGGATAATTCTGGTGAAGGTCAGCAGGGCGAGAACTTAATTGATGTTTAAGCGGGTTGTATGATGTGTGTTTGAGTCGTGCAACGATGGTCTGGTTTGCTAAGCGCCCAAGCGGTTGTGAGATAGTATTAAATACATGAACGTATTAAATCTGAGTTGATCGTCATGCTTCAGTAGGAAAGAATTAGTTCCTGACGAGCAATGCTATGTGTGATTGGGGTTGTCGTACTTCAGTATGAGAGGATAAGTTCTCGACAAACAATGCTATGGTTGATGGGGCACTCTTGGTGATGACGAAGACCTCAACGCTGTTGATACCTTTTCGGTATATCAACACTCAATCATAGTCCTCGTATTTAGAGTTCAAGACTAGATTTGTCTTACATGTGTTCATGTTAATGACTCGCATGCGGGTCTTGCTGAATGGTATCCATACCCTTTCTATGGTAGAACATCAAATGTGGCAGAAGCATACGGTAGTTTTTGAAGCCACCATGTCAATTTTTCTACAATATCATGATATGCATGCGCTCTACCCAGTGAGGATGACGGATTGGGAATATGGCCCGTTTCACTACCTCGAGTCTGTGGCTTTCACTCCTCTCTTTCCCTAACAGGAAATAACGCAAATGCCCTTTCACTCACCATCACCGCTCCCAAGACGGACTCATGTTTTGATCATACATCACGCATAACACATCACACGTCACCAAACAAATCTTCGCTTCGATAGCAACCAACTCTCACCACCTGGACGAATATCGATATCCACTACTGGCACCTGGAATACCGATCCCAACTACGAACACCTGTTGACGCTATTAACCCGTCAACCACTACCACATCTCACCACCTGAAGGAATACCGATCTTCAGCAGTGACACTTGCTGACACTACTGACCCTTCAATCGCTACTACAACAAGGTAGTAGCTTCCACACCAGAGAACTCTGGAATCTGAGGCCTGTAAACCCAGAATCCAGAAAAAATGCCAGCCAGGTAGGCACATTCCCTCTACATTCCCTGTTGCGGTCAACATCGCGTTTGTTTGTTTTTTGTTCTGGGCAATTTGAGCGTTTCCTGCTTGTTTTTTTTGAGTGAGGTAAGGTGAAAAGGAGTGTATGGAGGGTCAGAGCAGGAACTAAACGGCCATCAATTCGGTGATTCAGCAATCAACAGTTAGATTTGACCAGCTGGGGCTAATTGGCGATGGGGTCTGGTGGCGAGACAGCTATTAGATACTTGTAAGTTCCCCAAGAATGACAATACAAAAGCTCCTACTGATGAGTAGGCTATATCTGCCTTTCGAATGCGTTGTGCTTCAACTGCTATCCGGGTGCTGAAGCAATGAAGTCACGGATCAATGGACACGAAGAGAGTTTCCTGAAGCGTTTGGATTCTTCATGCAATACCGGGACTATGGGCGACCGACGCATTCTATTAATTCGTAATCGTTGGGCAAGACGACCACAACGACACACGAGTTTCTGAAAGATCGGGTCTCAAGAAACTGGATACAATTGGCTCCGAAAAGAAACCTACATGGGTTGCTGCTCGGTACTTTTGTGATATTTACTAATTTGAATACACAGATATCCGGTGTATAGCATCGGTTTCGCCTATGGCATACCCCAGGAGGAGCAAGAAGGGATCTCTCGGGAGATTAGCAACCGAAACGATCCCACATCGCTGATCGAGGGGTTCGCTTTTGGAAGGGAAGATCCCTTGGGCTTCCCTCCAGAGGCCATAGGCACAGAAGCCTATGTCAAGAAGGGCTGGCACCAGGCAGGCCGATACCCACACTTCACTGTGGAACTGCGGCACGTATTCCTCTAGTAAGTCATCTCTCGAAGCGTGTTCAACCGCAACTTGAACTTTGCTATGACTCGGGCTGATGTATGCTTAGCGGAGAGTATAAGCGATTGGCAACCGCCCATGTCTACAAAGACTGGTCAGAGACGATAGAATTCGCCGATCAGCGGTGGTGAGAATTTTAGTATCCAGATGCGTCGCAGGTTTCTGATTGCCCCGTAGGTTACGCTGGTGCAAGAAGTATCGCGATCAGCGTTACATAGTTTGGGACGTAAGTGCTGGTTGGTGGCTGTGAGGAACAATCAGCAAAACGTCTGAATCTGGCTAGACGAGATTTCCACGACCTGAGAATATCATGGAGCCACCTCGGGGACCGCTCCCTCAATATGCCCTTCCAGTACGTCTTCCTTTTTTTCAAACTCGTAGAGTACATGCTGTATTTGAAGTCTTGAACACCAATTGGGCTTTTTTACTGTATTTTCATCTTTTTACGCGCTGATAGATTTTACTACAGCGCCATCCATCAACGCCTATTTGTGCTCGTCCGCCGGCGTCATCCCCTCCCGCTTCTCCTCCGGTGGCAGTACCAGCCTTCGGGCACCCCTTTCTCCTCCAGCGCCCTTCATAGTGTCTTCGGTATGTGTATAGAAACCCCCCAAAAGCCCCCACATTCTTTTCCTCAAGCCCTCAAATGGTTGTTCTCCTGGCCTTGGGTTCATCGGGTCCTTTCTGAAGTCGTGGAACAAGACGCCATAAACGACGATGAAGCTGATCAGACTCCACTGCGCCACTTTGATCCATTTGTTCCACAATGGCCGCTCAGACTTCAATTTTATGCGTCGCTTAAATTTGCGCTCGAATCGGAATTGCTGCTTTTCCGTCAGGGCGCGAAGGTTTGGCGGCCATTTCTTCTTGACGTGGTACTTGTTGCGCGCAAAATCAAAGGGCGGCAGCGTGTTCTCATAGCGGCCAAGGAGGCGATTGATGAGGCGCAGCATCTCAACTGGACTTGCAGATGCGACGGCGGCGGGATGCTGGCTTATGCGACCGATTTTCGAGCGACGCAGATTTTCGGATCTATCTCGATCGTCAACTGACGTTCTTTACAAAAGTGCGCACGGTCCGAGTCCGCCCCACAAAAACCGCACTCTTGGCATTCATCCCGCACTCGGATTTCCTAACGGATGACTCCATCACAAACAAACTCGCCTCCGCCACCACCAACCACTGTTTCTTTTCCCTTCTTACGCTCCCTATTTCGTTTCCTGGAGGAGTGGTCATGGCCGAGTCTACAAAATCCAGCGAGGCGCCCAAGAGCGCCGTCGCCGCCACACTTGAGCAACTCAAGCCGCAAGAGGCTGAGTCAAAGACACTCAAAATCGAAAACACTGACAAACGTGATACCTTGATTGCAGAGGAGAAGAAGTACCAGAAATTATGGGAAGAGCAGGGCGTTTTCAACCCCGATGCTCCCTCACTTGAGGAGGAGCCGTTTGACACTACCACACCAGACCAGCTTCACGAGAAGTTCCCCAAGTGGCTTGGCTGCTTCGCTTATCCCTACATGAATGGAACCCTTCATGCTGGTCATGGCTTTACTGCAAGTAAAGTTGAGTTTACTGCTGGCTGTATGTTTTACTAGATGACCACGTGCAAGATGTTCACTGATATTTTGACAGTCCAGAGGATGCTGGGTAAGCGAGTGCTTTTCCCATTGGGATGGCACGTAACCGGTATGCCCATCAAAGCATGTGCCGACAAGCTTGTCAGAGAAGTGGAGATGTTCGGACAGAACTTTGAGCGTTGCCCAGTCGAGGATGTCGTTGAGACAGCCGTGGCAGAGCCCCCCGCCCCCACACAAGCTGAGACCAAGACCGACATCACCAAGTTCAAGGCCCAGAAAGGCAAGGCGGCCGCTAAGACAGTCAAGACCAAGTACCAGTTCCAGATCATGCTTGCTCAAGGCATACCTCTAGAAGAGATCCACAAGTTCTCAGACCCGTATCACTGGATAGAATACTTTCCCCCGCTCGCAAAGAGGGATCTCACAGCATTTGGCGCCAGGATCGACTGGAGGCGCCAGTTCGTCACAACGGACGCAAACCCTTACTACGACAACTTCGTTGCTTGGCAAATGCGACGACTGAAAGCCATGGGAAAGATCATTTTCGCTAAGCGATACACTGTCTACAGTCCAAAAGACGGCCAAGCCTGCATGGACCATGACAGGCAGTCTGGAGAAGGAGTCACTGTTCAGGAGTACACAGCCTTGAAGATGAAGGTGGTCAAATGGGCTGATTCTGCCAAAACACACATCGCTGGCCTCCCTGAAGGTGCTTCCTGCTACTTTGTGCCAGCTACACTCCGCCCCGAGACTATGTACGGTCAAACTTCATGTTTCGTAGGTCCTTCCATCAACTACTCGCTTGTCAAGATCAACGACAGTGAGTACTTCGTACTGAGCGAGAGAGCCGCAAGAAATATGGCATACCAAGGCACCACCGTCAAATGGGGAGAGTACTCGATCATCGCTACATTCCCCGGTAAGGATGTTATTGGCACCATCGTCAACGCTCCTCTCTCCGTCCACAAGGAGGTTTACATTCTTCCAATGGAGACCGTCAAGGATACAAAGGGCACAGCCGTCGTTACCTGCGTACCATCAGATTCGCCAGATGACTACATCACGTCATTTGACTTGGCCAAGAAGGCGGAGTATTACGGAATTCAAAAAGAATGGGTCAAGTTCGACAACCTGCTTGGCATCATAGAGACTCCAACCTATGGAAACCTCACTGCACAGAAGCTGGTCGAAGAAATGAAGATCCAATCGCCTAAGGACTCTGCGAAGCTTGCCGAAGCCAAAGAGAAGGCATACAAGGAAGGCTTCTACAAGGGCAAGATGGTGTATGGTGACTTCGCTGGTAAGCCAGTCGAGGAGGCCAAGCCATTGGTTCGTAAGCAACTTATCGACTCTGGTGTCGCTTTCCCTTACGCCGAGCCTGATGGCAAGGTCATCAGCCGTAGTGGAGACGACTGTGTTGCGGCCCTGCTTGACCAGTGGTACATGAACTACGGCACAGCAGCCAACGGCGGAGATGGCGAGTGGGCCGAAAAGGTCCGATCCCACATCGAGGGTGAACTCAATCTCTACTACCCTGAAGCGAAGAACCAGTTCTTGCGAGTTGTTGACTGGCTCGGCATCTGGGCATGCGCTCGATCCTACGGACTGGGAACCAAGGTGCCTTGGGACCCAAGTGTGATGGTTGAGAGTTTGTCGGATAGTACCATCTACCAGGCATACTACTCTTTTGCTCATTTGCTGCACAAGGACATGTTCGGCAAAGAACCCGGTCCTCTTGGTGTCAAACCCGATCAGATGACGGACGAAGCCTGGGACTACGTCTTTGCCCTCCGCGACCGAAGCGATGTCCCGCAATCAACAATTCCTAAGCAGGCTCTCGAGACTATGCGACGCCATTTCGACTACTGGTACCCGCTTGACCAACGTTCTTCTGGCAAGGATCTCATTCAAAACCACCTAACGATGAACCTGTATGTACATGCCGCAATCTTCCCGAAGGAGAACTGGCCACGCAGCTTCCGTGTCAACGGTCACTTGCTACTCAACGGTGACAAGATGAGCAAGTCTACTGGTAACTTCTTGACCATCGCTGGCGCAGTCCAAAAATTCGGTGCAGATGCTACACGTATTGCTCTGGCCGACGCCGGAGACGAGATCTCAGATGCCAACTTCGAGGAGACTGTCGCAAACAGTAATATTCTGAAGTTGTTCGAGCTCCGCAAGTGGTGTGAGGATTTGGTGAACGAGGCCATCTACGTCCCTGATGCGGCTGCGTACATGGAGAAGAGGGCAAACGAGCGTGTAAAGAACGCCGATGTGATCCAGCGACAGAGCGGTAGTGAGCGCCTCCTGTTCGACAAGATGTTCGACAACGAGATGAATGTGCTCGTTCACGAAGCTTTTGGTCACTACTCCAACACTTCCTACAAGTTGGCCCTCAAGTCTGGATTCTATGACTTCACCAGCGCACGTGACTTCTACCGTGAAGCTACCAAGGCGGCAGGCATTGGAATGCACCAGGACCTTGTCAAGAAGTTTATTGAGCTACAGGCTCTCCTCCTTGCCCCACTCGCACCACACTGGGCAGAATACATCTGGCTCGAGGTACTCAAGAACAAGGAGACCATCCAGAACGCCCTCTGGCCCAAGGTCCCCGAGTCCGACCCATCACTCACCGCCGCTCGCGAATTCGTTCGTACCACACAGACCAACATCACATCGGCCGAAGGCAACGCCATTAAGAAGCTTTCAAAGGGCAAGGCCGCGACGTTTGATCCCAAGAAAGAGAAGAAGATTATCATCTTCTCTGCTCAAGAATGGCCGGCCTGGCAAAAGAAGTACATCGACATGCTCCGCGATGCGGCTACGATTGACATCAAGGCCATCAGCAAATCCATCGATAAGTCCGAATCCAAGAAAGCCATGCCCTTCATCAACGGCCTCAAGCGTCGTCTCGATAACGGAGAGCCCAAGGAGGTAGTCTTGAACCGCGAACTTGCTTTTGACGAACTTTCAACCCTGCGCGTCATGGTTCCGGGCTTGAAGCAGACAATCCAGAAGTGCGTCGACGTAGAAATCATTGTTGTCTCAGAAGGTGGAAAGGATGGTACGGTGATCAAGGAAGACGGCAGCAAGGGCGAGACCCGATCGGAACTGCCACCTCAAGCTGCGACGGCTGAACCTGGTTCGCCCAGCTTCGCTTTCGAGAATGTTGAGGGCGTGCCTATTCGGTAAGGGGCACGAGAAAAATGCGCTGCAAGTTTGGCATCTGTGGAATGGGATGGGTTTATGCGACACGACATTTCATGACGGGCGAGGGTCTATGAGATGAATCATGTCTGAGATGACTGCGAAAGTAGAGCAACCTCTCGTGGTGTGTGTTCTAAGATTACTACTAGAATACGACCCTTCACATGTTCAACTGTGAAAGATCTTCCGAATTTTATTCGTGTCCAGCCTGTCTTTGAAATTTCAAATTGCCAACTCTGACGCTGAGGAAAAAAACTCATGATAAAGAAAAGTTCCGCCAGACAAAACATGTATCGACTGCATCTCGCGGGCCTTGCTGGCACTCCGCGCCATCTATCTGCATGACATGAAGGGGAAAAAAAAGAACAACTCATGACATAGGAAATTTTCGTGACAAAAGCAAAAAGAAGAGGGGCTCTGCTCCCCCACCCGACGACCAAGACCATTTACCACTTGAGCTTCTTATCCTTGCCGATAAACTCATCAATAATATCCATGTAGTAATCCTTGAGGTCCTCAACCTTGGGTACCTCATCGCTCTTACTGTAGAGATCGTAGGGGTTAAACGCCTTGACAGCCTCGAGCATACGCTCATCCTTCTCATTCATCATCCACTTGTATGCGCCCTGCGAGTGCCATGGATAAAATGAGTGATACCTAATCATTGCGAGGCCCTCATCCGGGATGGTTGACTGGTCCTTCATGATGTGATAGAGGTACTCGTCGTGGCCCCACGACAGCATGACGTTATCCATGCCGCAGCCGGGGGTGTAGATGCCGTGCTCGGTGCTGTAGATTTCGTCGGTGTAGTCTGGGTTGTTCTTGAAGGTGTCTGGGTAGATGATCTTGTCTGAGTAGGCGCAGCCGACGGGGAAGGTGTCGCCGACGACGTCCCATTGGCCGCGGGCGTCGTAGAAGAAGAGCAGCTTGCCTAGGTCGTGGATCAGACCGACGAGTTGGAACCAGCGCGGCTTGCCGTCGCGGCGGATGGCTTCGGCGGATTGGAGGAGGTGCTCGATTTGCGAGAGGGATGTATCTGGGTCGGACTCGTCGATGAGCGTGTTGAGTTTTTCCATGGCTTCCCAGACGGTCATCTCGGCGCGTGTCTTGCTGTGGAAGGAGTTGCGGGCTTTGAGGTTATAGGCTACGGTCTGCTTCTCGTGTTGTTCGCGGTAGAAGTTCTTGACTCGGTCGCAGGCCTCTTCGTACTGACGGAACTGTGTCTTGTCCTTGTCGGCGTCGAATTCTGATTGCTCGTAGATGTCCTTTTCCTTTTGTGAGGCTGTGCCGTTCTTGACTTTCAGAGCAGCCTTGAGGACATTGACGTCGTCGATGGCGTCAGAGGTAGCCTCAAGCGCAAGTCCATCACGGTGGTTGTTGAAGTCCTCGGCCACGTTTGGGGTCTCAAAGATTGCACCTGGTGCCATTTTGAAAGATGTGCCTGTGTGTATGAACAGAATTGGGGTATCTCAAAGCAAAAATCAAGTCAAGACAAAGTCTGTGCTGTGAAAAGCAGATTCAAGACACCAGTGTAGAGTGAAAGGTTTGGTTGATGGAATTGAGGTGGAATCCGACGAGAATTAGCTACTACTTATCCTCTTGTACCCCTCACACTACAAAGCCTTGAATTGCCAGAATCAGTTAAAAAGACTACTGCCGAAGAAACCCCAGAACGAGTCCTGGTGAGGCAGAGTTCTCGTCGTCTCCATTACTAAGATCCACTCTTGGATGAGGAGTCTCCGCAATTATGAGCTAAATGGGGACAAGAACGTCCCACACGGTAACTTTGGCCGCCTACCAAACTGCCGTTGAGCTGCCATGAGCAGATCTAAGGGTCTCGTCATGAGCGGCTAAGGGTCCCTGACGGCCATCTGGCGACGGTGGTTGGGCGTTGCGGTTAGATCTGCCGCTGTTCGGGTGGAATGTCGTGTTGGCATGTCATAGCGCATGCCATGGGGTAAGAAGAGGCAACAAGGGCCGCACCCAGCTCAGCACGGTAATTTTCGGCGCTCCATAACAAGTGCCGGCCCACCTTGTTCTGGACTTTGTGCGATACGAGAAGGAAAAGAATTGCTGATCAGGCGGAGATGCTGCATGATGACGACCAAGCGTCTGCCCCGCCATGCACGTGATGCTCGGTGTGCTCTTCCCCGACCGTTGCCAGCGTCTGGGCCACGTCTACTTATGGAACATGGTCCCCCCTCTAAGATTTTTTCACGTGAGGCTGGAAGAGCAACGAGAATGCGCACTAGGAGTATTAGTTACCTCCTCTCCGGCGGCGGACCGAAGCTACTCCGGCAGAGCTGCTTGGCGGGGCAGCACCGGACTTCGGTAACAATTATAGAGTCAATCACGGTCGACGTAAGTCTTTGACCATACCAGAACCGTCCAAGTACTAGCTACAACATGGAGGCCCCCTAGCAAACCCTACGTAGCTCGTCCTTGCCAACCACCCCGCCGGCACAGCGACGTACATATATATCGCAGCACCACCCCGGCCCTTGACGATGAATCCTGCCCTTTCCAAGTTGATGCTGAAGAGTACACCAAAGAGTATCCTCGACCCTCAGCCCGAAATGAACACTCCTATCCCCCTCAACACAGGCGCCACCATCCCCGCCCTCGGTCTGGGAACATGGAAATCTGGGCCTGGTGAAGTCAAGAAGGCTGTTGTCCATGCCATTGAGAGCGGTTACAGGCATATTGACTGCGCCTTCTGCTACCAGAACGAGGACGAGGTCGGCGACGCCCTTCAGGATGTCATTTCGCGGGGTGTTGTGAAGAGAGAAGATCTCTTCATTACCAGCAAGCTCTGGTGCACATTCCACTCCCGTGTCGAGGAGGGTCTGCAAAAGAGTTTGGACCTGCTAAAAACGCCTTATGTCGACCTGTTCCTTGTACACTGGCCAGTACCCATGAACCCCAACGGTACGTTGTACATAAACTGTAGCACTAAGCAAGCTAATCCGGAAATAGGCAGCCACCCTCTGTTCCCAATGCTCGAGGACGGCTCTCGCGATATCGACCGCTCAATGACCCACCAAGACACATGGAAGAACATGGAGAAGCTCATCCAAACACATCCTGAAAAGGTCAAGGCCATTGGTGTCGCCAACTACTCCGTCAAGTACCTGGAGAAGCTCCTCGCCAAAGCCACCATTGTCCCAGCCGTCAACCAGATTGAGAACCACCCACTGTGCCCACAACAAGAAGTTTACGACTTCTGCAAGGAAAAGGGAATCCACGTCTCAGCGTACAGTCCGCTCGGTAGCACTGGCTCGCCGCTGTTCGGAGACGAGATTATTAACGAGGTCGCGAAAAAGCACAGCGTTGGACCTGCAGTCATTCTCCTGAGTTACCATCGTAAGTCTTTTTAATCCTGTTTTTTCTAGGAAACATGCTAACCTTTTCAAGTCGCCCGCAATTCATCCGTCCTCGCAAAGTCCGTCACTCCCTCGCGTATTGATGAGAACAAGAACCTCATTTCGCTCGATAGCGATGACATGGCGAAACTGGAGAAGATTCACAAGGACAAGGGTATCCAGCGTTACGTATACCCACCCTTCGGTATCAATCTCGGCTTCCCTGACAAGCCCGATGGTGTTGACCTCAGCGGTCCTTGACTCTCCGGCAAGGTCAAACTGTAGGGAAAAAAAATTAGAGAAAAAACTAGAAGCTATACCCGATACAATATATGATGAACTTGACACCGTACGGAACTCTTGATAGAAATTGCATTGTTCCACATGAGTGAAAATGAAAAAGAGTTATTAGATTCAAGGTCTGGACGTATTCTAAGGGTTTTCTGATCTGGCTCCTATAAACATAACCTAGATTCTACCTACCCATCCAGCCTCCATCAACTGTGAGGACCTCACCGCTGACGTATGCACTCGCGGCACTAGCCAAGAACACTACAGCACCCTTGAAGTCTTCGGGGCTTCCCCATCGCCCAGCAGGAATTCTGCTCAGAATGCTCTCAGCCCTCTTTTCATCCTTGATCAGCGCCTCGTTCATATCCGTCGCAATGTACCCAGGCGCAATAGCATTGACACTAATGCCCTTGCTCGCCCACTCATTCGAAAGCGCCTTGGTAAGCTGACCTACACCACCCTTTGACGCTGCATATGCAGGCACCGTAATGCCACCCTGGAAAGTCAAGAGTGACGCAACGTTGATAATGCTGCCGCGTCGTCCAAGTGGCAGATCGGCGTTTTGAGCGAGCATATGCGCGCCTACATCACGGGCGAGTTGGAAGACAGAGGTCAAGTTGACTTGCAGTACTGCTTCCCAGTCGTCATCTGGGAATTGGTGTGCAGGGTGGCGCCTTTGGATTCCGCCGCAGTTGAGCAGGATGTGGATCCTGTGGCCATCTTTGAGGATAGCAGGGAGGAGGGCGGCGACAGAGGATTTGGAGGCGAGGTCCGCGGTGTAGATTGTAGCTTTGCGACCGAGCGATTCAATTGCTTGCTTGGTGGATTGGTTGGATGTGTCGCGCTGAGCTCGGGCGTTAGTGTGTCTGTATCCTTCAAGTTTGTGAACATGAAAGGGCTTACCTGGACAAGAAGAATGTCTGCCCCTGCCTCTGCGAGCGCAACGGCCATAGACTGACCGATTCCTCGCGTTCCACCTGTTACTAGGGCGGTTTGACCCTCGAGAGAGAAGAGTTGGTTGACAGATGCCATGGCGTCTGTGGATCTTCTGCTTTCGTGGTAGGGGTTCGGAAGGCTTTAGTGAAGATGGAATTAAATAGTAGTGTTGATATCAATAAGTAAACGGCTTCAGGCACGCCAACAACTAGTTCTAGTGCTTCCTGAACCAAGAGAAAATGCCTCAAAAAGTGTTTTTGGGATGTACGGAAGAAGACGACGGCGCTCAATCCCAGAATCATGTTTGGTAGCTCGGAACAGTCTCGGAACATGACCCCACCCTTGGTGTCGGCATCTGTTGTCCCGCCATTTCAAACGCCGAAGGTCGGAATTTCTCTCCACAACGGACCATGTGCCATGGGGGAATACGCGCCGAATGTTTGGCCAGTAGTGGGTTCCGAGGCGCATGCGATGGCTTGACTTGTCACCTGTCTTCCCGACACTCATTCTCTTCAATCCACACCCCAGACTTCATTGTGTTTCCTTGTTTACATTAATCTAAAATCGAGAGAGTGAAACCATGGCTTCAGAACAAACATCAGACGGTAACCAGGGCACGAGGCAGATCCGTGCCTCAGTTCTTCATGGTGCAAAGGACTTGCGAATCGTACGTCAGCACGTCTCGTTACATGCGCGATCATACTGACTTCAATCCTAGGAGAACCGCTCACTTCCTCCGCCCTCGCCAACAGAGCTCCAGATAAGCGTTCGCAGTACCGGTCTTTGCGGTTCCGACCTCCACTATTATCGACACTACCGCAATGGCGATATCATTGTGCGAGAGCCTATGTCACTTGGGCATGAATCAGCTGGCGTGGTAGTAGGCGTGGGTTCAGAAGCCTCTGGCTTCAAAGTCGGAGACAAAGTTGCGCTGGAGGTCGGACAACCATGCGAGAACTGTGATAGGTGTAAAGAAGGACGTTATAATATTTGCAAGGGCATGAAGTTCAGAAGTAGTGCAAAGGCCTTTCCTCATGCGCAGGGAACGCTACAAGACCGCATCAACCACCCGGCTGCGTGGTGTCATAAGTGAGTTTCTGGAATCAAGTCGGATATCATGGACACTAATAGTTGTCAGATTGCCCGACGACATGTCGCTAGATCTGGGAGCTCTCCTTGAGCCTCTGGGTGTAGCTATCCAGGCTTCAAAACGAGCACAACTAGCACCTGGCTCAACAGTCCTGGTTTTTGGAGCTGGCGCCGTTGGAATCCTTGTAGCAGCCATGGCAAAGATCTCCGGTGCGGGTACAGTAGTAATAGCAGACATTGACTCTGGACGAGTGCAATTCGCAGTCGACAACAAGTTCGCACACCGAAGCTTCACCGTACCCATGAAGCGTGGAAACACCATAGAAGAGCAACTCGACATTGCCAAAGAGGTAGCTGCCGAGATTGGCAAGATCACAAAAGAAAGTGGTGAAGAAGTGGGTGAGGTCGATGCGGTTTTCGAGTGCACTGGCGTGCCGTCATGCGTACAGGCATCGATATTCGTAAGTCATAGTATGATCCCAGCTTCAGTCAATGACTAAGAAGAAATGCAGGCCACGCGACCTGGTGGTAAGGTTCTCCTAATTGGAATGGGTACACCGATTCAGACACTCCCTATCTCCGCAGCCGCTCTTCGCGAGGTAGATATCTTGGGTGTTTTCCGGTACGCCAACACTTACCCCACTGGCATTGAGGTTGTGTCAAAGAAGGGAGATGACTACCCCGACTTTGGTAAGCTGGTGACACACAGATACAAGGGCCTTGAGTCGGCAGAAGAGGCATTTGAGATGGCTGGTAAGACCAAAGATGACAAGGGCAATCTTGTCATCAAGGTTGTACTTGAGACTAGCGACGAAGCATAGGCAAGTCTTGGAAAAAGTTTGTGTCAATTGACGAGTTTAGCATTGAGAGCACTGTAGTAAGAAGTTCTGTATATTCATATCATCATATTTTCTAACACTACTTACGTAGCCAGTGAAGTGGCCTTGAAGGAACTAAGATATCGCCACCTTTCCAGCACCTTCATATGAAATCAAAATGAAAAGTGTGGGAAGCAGTTAGACATCCCGCTAGGGAGCCACAAGGAGGGCCATTGACAATTGGAAAATTTCGTTCAACCTCAACCTGGAATTTTCTCCGACGCATTCCGTTCCAGTCATGAAAAGTTAAAATCTCAAACTACACAGGAATGAGTACATGATGTGCTACTGCAGGTTGTTGTGTTGTTGTTGTGTTGTTGCATGAAACCATCAGCTCCAGTCGCCGAACGGGGGAATTTTCCCCATTCGTCCTACCCCAGAGCTACTACTGGCGTAACACAACTCCACGCATTCCCCACACTTTCGTCAACATCATGTATAGTTCCGTACTAAATCGATCGGTCCTATGCTTTCTTCTCGCCCGCCAGTGAAATTGGCCTTTCTAAGCATCGTGAGGTGCTCGTCGTGGGGAACTTTGCGCATCGTCTGGAAATCTAGTCAGGAAGAGGTAGCCGTAGTTCCGAGTGCAGTGGTTAGAAATCGTTTGCATTTGTCATAGAGAGATGGAATATATGACGAAAGAAGTGAAAGATTCTCTCCTTGATGCCTCCGCGGACAGTTTTTGGACCCTGAACAGAGCTTTGGCCAACATGTGTTACGACGATTGCAAGCCGATCTATTCCCGTAGACGTTCAAATTGACTCCTATTTGGCTGGCTGTGAAGAGAGCAACCTTTTACATCTCTCTAGCATCTCTCTTTAACCAATTATTCACGTCCTTTCGTCTGAAATTTCCTTTACAATGGCTCCCGCAATCCGCAGACTCCGTATTGCCGTCTCAGGCCTTGGCCGGATGGGTGCCCGTCACGCAAACCACTTCCTTCACCGTACGCCCAAGGCCGAGCTTGTGGCAGCATTCACACCAGCTGAGAATGAGCTTGCTTGGGCGAAGGATAATCTGGAGCCATGGGGCGTCAAGATCTACACCGACTACGACGAGATGTTGAAACATGAGGGCCTTGAGGCTGTCTGTGTAGCAACCGTCACTACAGTCCATGCTGGACAGACAATCAAAGCAATTGAAGCTGGAAAGCATGTACTATGTGAGAAGCCCCTCAGTACTAAACTGGATGAGGTAAGTACTTCTTCGCCTCACTGCTTCGAAAGGGACACAGCTGACAACGGGACCTAGTGTTGCAAAGTTCTCGAGACCGCAAAGCGCCACCCTCACGTCAAGGTCATGTGTGGCTTCTCTCGTCGCTTCGATTCATCCTATCTGAACGCGTACAATCTTGCTTTGAGTGGCAGCATTGGACGTCCCACGATCCTACGGTCACAAACATGCGACAAGTATGTAGCACATATGGAGCCTTTGTAGTTCACACGCTAACGCAGCAATTCACAGATACGATCCCTCGGGCTTCTTCGTAGCATACGCCGAGTTCTCTGGTGGTATATTTGTCGACTGCAACATCCACGACATCGATCTTGCCCTGTGGTACTTTTCCGCCGAATCAAAGGGCAAGGTCCTGCCAAGGGTCAAGTCGGTCATGGCTGTCGGCGTCACAGCACTCGAGCCTGACCTAGCAAAATTCGGCGATGTAGACAATGGCGTGGGCGTCGTTGAGTTCCACTCTGGCCAAATAGCCTACTTCTACAGTACGCGCATGAACGCCCCTGGCCAACACGACACGACGGAGATTATCGGCACAAAGGGAAAACTTGCTGTCAATTCCAATCCTGCGACAGGATTGTTGGAGAACCACACAGACACGGGTATTGTTAGGGAAATCCCGCAAAACTACTACGAGCGCTTTGAGCAGGCGTTTGTGGAAGAGGCAAGGCAGTTTACAGATGTTGTGCTGGATAACAAGGAGGTGCCCATCGATCTTGAGAGCTCACTGGAGGCAGTCAAGATTGGCGTTGCTCTACAGGACAGTTTGAAGACGGGCAAGAAGATCTTGTTTGATCAGCAGGGAAACAGGGTGGATGACGTGAGGGCGAGATTGTGATGAGCACATAAGTGCATACATAGGGGGTTAAGAGCGGATGGAGGGGCATAGTAATGCTATAATGGTATGCAGTGGTATTTGATAGATGTGCAAGGTGAAGCGATGTTTAATACATGTCTTTTCTGCGTTGCAAAGAATAATAACTTTGGTGGGAAGGGTGACGCGTCTGACACGTGGTCTTGCCCCTTTAACAGAGACGACATGTTTTTGTATGAATATCATGATCTCAACCGTACTGCAGTACGTATGTAAAAGGTGGTATTCGAATGATTGTTCTCTAAAGCAGAGTAGATGCTTGTCCATCGTCGCAGCGCTGAGGCTGAGGCTGGTTAAGGGTGCCAGGGGTTTCGCACTTTCGCAACCCCCAACACTGCTGCATTCCCGCACAGATTTGATTCCACAACAAAACACTCTCCTCATCCAATATACTTCTTAAGCGCTTTCTTTTTCAACGGCACTAGTCTCTCAAACCAAGTTCGGTCATGTCGTGAGCCCTTTCACCTGTTCTACCTGCAATCAGGTGAAAGAGGTCTTAAGTTACATATCAGGTACGTACCTATGTATCACGTGTCTCCCGACCATCTTCAAGCCACATTTACAAAATACATCAAATGCAAACTCAGCCACAAACCAGCATCCAACACACCTTCCCTACGCAGCGATGCCCCTCGAGGCCTTTATTCCCGGGAGCTCCCTGCAGAACCCTTCACCAGCCACCCACCCCTTGCATATCCGCCGTGGCTGAAGCGAAAACGGAAGAAAGTGGGGTATTCTGTCCCCTAAAATAAAATACAAAGCGGGAACAAGGATAACGCCTTCCGTATTACGAAGATAGAGAGAAAGAGAGAGAGAGTTAAGGCGTGAACATGTGGATCCCCCCTCCAGCGGGAAGAGAATGGGAAACTCTGCCGTACCCGCCTCCCCCTACTAGTAGTTACCCCACACCCCCATGTCCATTGTTCAGATTACGTAGATGTATACGAACAGCTCATCAGCCACCACCACATGAAGGTGATGATTTGCGAACTTTTGGCAACGGTCAAACACACGGACCATGTAAGCACTCAAATTGTACATTGCCTTTCCAACCCCCCCCTTCTATATATGCTGGTATGGGATGGCGGATATAGCCATGCAAGGCGATGCAAGGCAAGGCGATGCGATGTGATGCGACGCGACTTGACGGGACGAGGCGGAGGGTGGGTTTTTTTTGCGGAAATAAAGAAGCGTCACGTGCAAGGGTATCCCGCCCGTTGAGGCTGTGTCAAAGAAGCTTCAACTTGACCTCATCCCAACTTCCTCGACAAAGTGTCCAGCACCAGCACCAGCACCATACCATACAACTAAATGTACATGGTAGCCGCGACAAAGAATAATGGGCTACTGCCAACTACATGGCATTTGCAACCGGAGCAGCTATCATCACAAGAGCAAGGAACAAACAAGAGGTACAAAAAGTCATCGTAACAAGTATTATCATTGATGCACTATCTACAAGTCCCGTATTGGGGTATCAAATCGAATGCTCAGAATAGCATTACTCAGTCGTCATTATCATCATGCTCTCTCGTCAGTGTTCATTAGGAGAGAAAAGAAACCAGCCCACCCATCCACTATCCAAAGGCCGCCTTCCATTACCGACGCATAGCTCTAGTCATTATACACATTACTCCACTAGGTGATGGCCTTTGGTAAGATATGATGTGATGCACTTAGAGAAGAAGCCAGGCAGCGATACCGGCACCAGCGGCGATGGACATGCCAGTAGCCTTGGGGGCGGCACCCTCAGCCCGGGTGGCAGAGGAGGCAGCAGAGCCAGCAGCTTCGGTAGCAGACGAGGCAGCAGAGCCGGCAGCACCAGTAGCAGAGGAGAGAGCCTCAGTGGCGGATGAACTATGTAATTGTTAGTTGGGTCTTGGTGGATGCATGAAGGGAGTCAACTTACAGGACCTCGCTGGCCTCAGACTGGAGGGATGAAAGAGCAGAGTTGGCCTCGGAGAGGATAGAAGAGGTGAGACCAGAGGCCTCAGATGCAAGAGAGCTAGCGACAGAGGTCATGCCGGAAGCAGCAGACGAGGCGGCGGAAGAGGCGTCCGAGGCAGCGGAAGAGGCGTCCGAAGCAGCGGAAGAGGCAGCAGACGAGGCATCTGAGGCGGCGCTGGAAGCAGCGTTGCCGCCAGAGGCAGTGGCGCTGGCGACGGCAGAGGTGAGAATGGGAAGAGCGGCGGGCTGTTCGCTGGCAGTGGCAGCAATACCAGCGCAGCGAGCATAGGCCCACTGGACAGCGCTGGCAGACTGTTCGGCGTCACAGGCCTGGCGAGAGCAGTCACGGATACCGAAGGCCCAGTTGGAGCGGCTGCAGAAGCAGGCAATGTCGTCACCGCAGGACAACTCAGACTGGGCAATGCGGGCCATGTTGTTAATGCAGAGCATCTAGCCAAGAGTCAGTATTGGTGGGTGCGTGCGTGAGAGAGCAATTGGTGAGAGCTTACGGCGCAGTCTCCAGTGGGCATGTCCTGGGCGAAAGCGGCACCGGCAAAGGTGGCAGCGAGGATGGCGAAAGACTTCATCTTGAGGGATGGTGGGATAGAAGCTGATACGAGGAATTGAGCAGGAATTGGAGACAGACAAGTCTTTGCAGGAGCTGAAGATGTGGTTGCGGGAGGGGTGAGGAGTGAGAGCAGAGGGGAGCCCGGTGAGGTTTATATCAGCGACAACAAACCAAAGGCGAGCGTGGCTGGTACAAGAAGGTACTGCCCGGCTTTCACGCACAACGGGCTCTGCAGTGGCAGGGGCCATCCCAGCCCCAGGGCACGGGCCCATGATCCGCACCCATGCGCCTATCCAAGGAACGAGAACAGGCAGGCGCGGCGCTGATTGGCCGCCGGGCCGGGCGCCCATTCGCTATGATGTAGCTTGACTGCAGCACGACGGCCAGCTCACGCGCTGTCAGTCACGGCCCTCACTGCACACTGACCGTGTCCATGCTTGGTGCTTGGTGCTTGCCTGCTTTGCCTGCTGGCTTGCTCGCTTCCTCGCTCGCTCCACTCATCATGGCAACCATCATCATCATCATCATCATCATCACCGCCGCCAATTCTGCCCTCGCTCGCGCCCGTGCGACCGACCCCAAGCGGGAACACGGCCAAATTGCTCAAATCTTAATTGCGGCCAGCAGAGCCACTCGGCCGTGACGCAGTAACCATTGGTGTTCTTGCTCTGCCCTGATCAAACAGCTGCCGTGCCCGCTGCCCTGGCCACCAGATTGCCCCTCGTCTCCGTTTCACACAGACGACGATGTGCCGTCCACCCATGCTCCCCTGCTCCCTTGGCTGGGAAATCAATCTTGCTTCCCCACGACGGCCACCCCCAATTGCTCAGATCTAGGCGCCGCCGATCCCCACCCGCCCGCCAATCACTAGCCCCTCTCCTCCCTCCCAACTCACCTGCTGCTGAGTACTTACACCAACGAGGAAGAGGGTACATGCCGTGGGTACATAGACTACCATTTGTGGCGCAGTCTAACCAGCCTCAAGGGAATTCCCGCCCCTCTCTGCATGCCCTCTGCCTCTGCCTCCCCTCTTTCTCCTGCACCCTTCTCCTAGGCCCCCTCGCCCTCTCTCTGCTCGGCCAGGTGCTTCTCTTCCGCCGACGTGATGCAATGCGTGTTCGCGCCTGTCCCAACCACCCCGTCAGCTACTCGCGCCCATCGCCATCCACTCGGCCACACGCCATTAATAAACTCACCTAACTTGTTGATAGTCTCCATCCACTCATCGTACGGGTCCGAATCAAACACTATGCCTCCCTGTGACAAATAATTAGCTTGCAATCAACCTGCCCGAGCGATAATTTCCCTCGGACTTACCCCTGCTTGGAGATAGGCGACGCCGTCCTTGACCAGCATCGTTCTTAGCGCAATGCACGTCTGTACACATCAGCCTCCTGTTAGCCTCAAGCAACGCACTCCTACTCACGTCCATGGCTCCTTCTATCTCTCTCTCGCCGTCAACGCTGCCGTAGCCAAAGTAGCCCACAGCGCCGGCGTACACACCGCGTTTTTCCCTCTCCAGCTCGGCGATGAGTTCCATGGCGCGAACCTTGGGCGCTCCGCTCACCGTTCCTCCGACTCATTAGCCCACTTTCAAGTTTTTTTGGTGGCGCTACTCACCAGCGGGAAATATCGAGCGGAACGCGTCGAATCGCGTCTTGCCAGGTCGCAGTACGCCAGATACTTCCGACACCAGGTGCTGCACGTGCGAAAACTGGTTTCCATTTCGTTAGCATCGTCATTCCCGCTTTGGCTCCATCGCTTCCTGCCCTCATTGCACCACATTCGGCGATCACGGCTAGGGCGGAAACACTTTACCTTTTGCACCACCATCAACTTGTCCACCCTGGTGGTAAGTGGGTCGCACACACGATTGACGTCATTGCGAGCCAAGTCCACCAACATGACCTGCCAAAATACTGGTAAGCTTCAACGTTGTTGCATGCGCCTTGTCGTCAGAAAACCCACATGTTCTGCCCGGTCCTTGAGGGACTGAGAGAGCTCTTCCGCAAGTGCTGCATCCTCCTGAAGTGTCTTGCCCCGCTTGACTGTCCCGGCAATCGGGTGCGTGATGATGCGACCCTGCTCCTCCTTGACCAGCAACTCGGGACTGGCGCCCACAATCTGGAATTCGTCACAATCGACAAAAAAGAGGTATGGCGATGGGTTCACGCTTCGCAGATTCCGGTACACATTGAACGGGTGCAGTGAGGTCGGTCTTGCGAATCGTTGCGACGGCACCGCCTGGATAATGTCGCCAACGCTAATGTGCTTTTTCAGCTCCTTGACGTGGTTTTCATATCCCTCTCGTCCAATGTTCGATGTATACTCGTTGCCCAACTGGATCGGCCCTTGCTCTGGCAATGGAATGTCCTTGTCCTTCAGTATTGTCACATATCTTTGCAATGTGTTCCTAGCTTCTTCGTAAGCCTCCTCGAGATTGTCGAGGCTATCTGGAACCTTGACGTATGTTATGACCTTGACAACCTGCGCGAAATGATCCAATGCAACCACTGTATCGAAGAGCATAAAGAGGCTCTCGGGCACGCCTAGCACATCCTTCATGTCATCTCGTCTGGTCTTGGGCTCAAAGTATTTGACGCAGTCATATCCAACGTATCCGACAGCGCCACCGGTCAACGGAGGTAGTTGTATCGAGGGCACAGTCGCGACACGGCTCTTTGCAAGCTCCTCCTCAAGTAGAGGTAGTGGATCGGTCTCTTCGCCATGGCCGGGCCCAGTCTTGATAACTTTTCGAGGGTCTGAAAGCTTGTGGTTAGCTGCCGTGTCTGAAACATTTGCTCCCCAAGTACCGACCTGCACCAACAAAGCTGTACCGTCCTATGGTCTCGGTAGTTGCGGCGCTCTCGAAAAGAAACGACAGCCTCGACTTTGATCTGAGCCAAGACAGTCAGCACAAATGTCCCCAAGCCCTCTTCTACCACTGCTTATGCCTCATGCCCCTCCAGTCCACCCCGCCTCCTTGTCCTCTTTGTGCGCTGCCCTTCCTCGCGTTGCCCGCTTAGATATCGCATGAGTCATACTCACTTTGCGGAGATCTTCAGATATATGCTCGACGGCGTGAGAAACTCGGCGGAAATCGAGGAGTACACGGGCACCAGGTTTGGTGGATTGGGAGAGTTGATCGATGTGGCCAATACTTCTCGAACGGTGTCAAGCGATGGCTGAATGCCTAGCTGCTGTGGTCATGCGCTCAGCTTGGTGTCACTTCATTGGCTTGATTATGGACATACCTGTGGCGCCATGACTGCTAAAATGTCGAACGAACGCTCTGTGAGCCTTGTGAACGTATAAGAAGAGGAGTGTATGTGTCACAAAGAGTAGTCGCAAAGTGTACTGAAGACACAATTGTTGACGGCCTGGCCAATCGGAAGGGTCAATATCCCGTAGTAAATTGCTATCGATAGAGGGACTCAAACCACCCCACTTCGCGCGGCTGAGTCGCCCAGGTTTCTTTCGAGGCCACATGGGTGCCGCGGCTATACGCACGTCACTTAGGGTGAACCCTATTCTCTCTGCCAACTCCGACTTGTCCAAGTTTCACGTTTCACCGCACATCTCACTTTCTGGCTGGCAGCATCCTTTGGAGTATTCGGAAAGTCGTGCAGATTTATCGAGGAGTACAAGGAGAGTATGCGGCCCTCGCGCCGCTGCGACAGTGCCATGGAAATTCCGCGCAGCCTAGAGCGGCCATGGACACCGCCAGAGATCGAAGACCGCCCATATGCTCGCACTCGCCCAAGCCGTCTCAACCTATATGGAGATTCACCCTCGCAGTATTCTAGAAAAGAGCAGCGTTGGCCAAACGATGCCGACCGTGTGCACGAACAACCCTCATGGACCACCGAAACCTATAGTCCAAGAACCCCGTTCACAACATCACGGCCGAAACTCAGTTCCCGTCTTACCGAGCCGCTTCCGTATACACCCAAAAAACAGTACCATTTCGACGAGCCATATTCACAGCCAAGGGGCGTGCCACGCTACCCCTACACGCCTGATAGCTCCCAAACATTGCGTCGGCACACTGTTATCCCTGCTTCTCCTCCACCATGGGACGACTATTCGGATCCCGCTTTATCGCCCGTTCAGGATGCCTTGTCCGCCTGTATTGCGCAGTTTGAGGATTTGATCCAGTCGCAGCAGCCAGATGAAGATCAGATGGAATATATTGTAGGGCAATTTGAGGCCATGGCCATGCGTCTTTCGGCTCCAGAATCGTACGAGAAAGAATCAGGTACACAGTACCCTTCACATTTCGACCAGGGAGCTGGTATCATGCACGCGGACGACGGCAAAGATGATCTTGCCGAAGCGAAAAGGCTGTACCACCAGTCATATGTTGCGGAAGTAGGAAACTATGTCAACAGCGTACAAAAATACGTCGACGAACTGCGGAAGCGCCTAGATGAAGTCAAGACGCTAAACAGCATCCAGCTAGACGTCATCAACGATTTGCGTAAACAGATGAAGACCGTCCGTCAAAACATGCGCGAGGGGCTCGAAAGAAGTAGCGGTGAAACTACCGGCGGTGCCAAAACTGGCAGCGGTGAAAAAGACTTCAAAATCGCAAAGATCGTAGACTTGGAGGATGAACCGGAACACAACTCACCAGCACAAGACCAAGCAAGTCCAGAAAAACCTGGTGGCGGTGGTAAAAGTAGTGCCAAGGACATGGGCCGCAAAGATGAGTCCACACCCAGAAAATTCGGCATGATGGACAGCTGGCAGACCCTCGTCAACGACGACGACGATGAAAACAACCAAGACGTATCCCAGGATATCCACAACGAATACACCAAACTCGTCCGCAGCGCTGTATACAACCTCACCGCAGAAGACAATAACGATCGCAATGATGATGATGCTGCTGCTTACCACACCCCTCGTCCTCCCCCTCCTGCTGCTGCTGCTGCCCGTCCTGTTATCCGCCAGACCAAACGCCGTCTAATTACCATTGTACGCTCTCCCCCGAGACGCAGCTTCTGGGCTTCGATTGGCGAGGCGCTAGATGCAATGTCCGAGTTGTTGCTTGAAGAATGAATTGATTGATTGATTGATTGACTGATTGACGACGATGACGATGACGATGACGACGATGATTGTTGGATGAGATTTACGGCTGTCACTTTGGTATACGAAGTTTTCTTTTCTTTTTTCCTTTTCTGAAGTTATCTTTCTTCTTTCTCTCAACTCGCCTTTTTTTTTCTTTCCTTTCGTTATTTTCATCGGTAATGGAGGGAATGGAGGGTTGGGTAATGGAGGTGTGCGAGAGATTGGTTGGGCTTTACGATTGGTTTTTGACGATTGTGGCTCAGGGTACATCTTTGGGAGCTAGGACGTGGTTGATGGATGTCGGCGCCATTTCTTTTCTTTTCTTTTCAACCTTTACTTTTTTTCGGTCTCTTTTCTTTTTGACTCCATCTGCATGAGCGTACGTTGGATACCCCACTGCTGACGTTTGCATTTCTTTTTTTTTCCTTTTCCCCACATCTCTTCTCTGGTTGCTATTACTAAATTGTTCTTCCAATGCGTCTCTTGCTTTCAGTCGATTAGTCACTGTGCTTACTCTCACTGTTTTACTACTCTATTCTTAGTTCATGCTACTCCTCGCAACTTGGCAATACCCAATCACACAATGTCAAACCAAATTTTGCATGTGTTACATATTGGTGCATACGGCTTGTGTTATAGACATGTACTTATAGTTCCGAGAATCCAAAAAGGATGCATTGGTATCGCTAGAACATCTTCCCATCGTCTTCTTCTCCTTACACGCCAACTTACTCGACATAATCCAAACTACCCTTGCCAACCGTGCCCTTGACTGCATCCTCGCCCTTTTGCTGCCTCAACTTCTCTTCAAACTTGGCAAACTCCTTCATTGCGATTTCTTCCTCCTGATCCAGAACCTGTTGTACCCCTTTGACTTCTTCAATGTAATGCATCAACATGCTCTCGATTCCGTTCTTCAGCGTCACTGTACTCGAATCACAAGTCCGGCACGCACCGCGCAACTTCAGGAGAACTTGGCCGTCGTTGAAGCCCCGGAATTCAATGTCACCACCATCTTCTTGAATCGCGGGGCGGACGCGCGTCTCGAGCAGCTCCTTGATCATACCAACTACTTCGTCATCATTCTCATCGTAGGCCAGACTGTCGGCTTCTTGGCCGCCTTGGCCTTGTTCTCCGGCTTTCGCAGCCACGGTATTGACAATTGGTGATCCAGATGTCATGAATTCAGTGATTATGGCGAATACCTCAGGTTTGATGTGACTCCATGGCGTAGCCGAGTCTTTTGTCACGGTGATGTAATCTGCGCCAAAGAAGACGCTCGTTACTCCATCAATGTTGAGTAGTTGGGCCGCGAGGGGGGAAGGATGTGGTGGTGCGAGAGTCGAGCGCGGGTTTAGGTATTCGAGAAAAGGCGACGATATCGTTTCAGGGAGAACTCGCTGGTTGGGATTGAATTTCAATGCCTGGCAGCTGTCAGCAGGAGAGCGATATGTGAACTGGGCGGGGCATGCATACATCGGCGTTTGGCGTTGGCTCGGTCTGGATGAACATGGTTCGACGTGCAACGACTGCGGAAGGTGCAGCTACTTTCCGTTTCCATTGTTGCGCCGTTGGTCTATGTTGAAGCTGTGAGGTTGTGATGGGCGATGATCGTTGATGCATGCATCTTGTGGCAATGCGTGGCGTTGGGCTTCGCAAAGGCGCAGCGCGCGAAAGAGCGCGCAGAGCGGAGCGAGGGATTGTGCTTGAGGTCATTTCTAAAAAGAAATCTAGGTATTGTATGTAGCAGGTAGTGTGTATTGTCGCAATGGTAGGGTGCGCAGATGGGAGACGGAAAGTTTCGCGAACTCGGGCGAAACAAAGTATGACGTTAATTGGATTATTCAGCCACGCGCTGAGTGGCTCCGACAATCCACCAGATGAACACCGTGCAGATTGAACATCGTCTATTGTTTTCGAGCTCGAAAAATTAAGTTCGAGCTATGATAGAACAGTTTGCTGAATACGAATGTGAGAACGCAAGGTTTGTGTAAAAAAAATCGAAGCACTCGAGGAACACATCTCATTTCCTTTTGGTCACAGCCCGTACAAATACATTGGTTCTTGATAGTTCAATATCATCGCAATAGTAGAAAATGGAGTATGTTGTTTGGATATTGTCATTAATGATTAGATTCCGAATCACCCTATCGTACAAGTTTACATCGGCTATTCCATTCTGCCGCCATGCATTCCAATCAGTCTCCGCCTGCGTGTGGTATAATATAATGCGTCAAAGTCGTTAAGTACAGTTAAGGAAAATTTGTGCTGAAAAGCACATTGGCTAGTATTAGCCTAGAGCGACAAGGACATCAGGTATTTGATGTGACTATTTGTTTTGCTTAGTAATTGGTGGCGGTGTTCCCGTAGGTAGCAGTGTTGCCGTTGATAGCGTAGCTGCCAGTAGGAGCGGTGTGGTAACCAGAGCCGACAGGCTTGTGGCTGTCATAGCCGGCATTAGGAGACGCGACGGTTGAGCCAGTGTAGGCGGTATCGTGGCTAGGGCGGTAGTCGTGGGTACCATTAGGAGCAGCAAGTCCACCAGTGGCAGCAGGTACAGCAGCAACCTCAGGGTCACGGCTGCCAGTGGTCCTGTGAGCCTTCCTGCGCTGCCAGAACTTCATGCCGGAGCCCTTGGTGTAGCCGTTGGAAGGGCCAGGACCGAAGCGCTTTTCCTTCTTGTGGTGGCGCATAAGGGCTACCTGGAGGAGGGCGCTGATCAAAAAGAGGAAAGCACCAATGATGGCGACGGCAAAGCAGGCAGTGTTGAGCTTGCAAGTGGTACCCAGAGAAGCAGAGTAGGTGATCTGGTTGCCCTGGCCGTTGGAGCCAAAGCCTTGCTTGGAGCTTGCAGGACCGTTGCCAAGGGGAGTCCTCACATTGCCAGAGCAGCTGTGTGCACCATCACGGGTGAGAACGGCGATAGCAATCATAGCACCGCAGCAGAGGATGTTGAAGAGAATGGCAAGCATAGCAAAGATTGTCTATCCGATAGTCAGTGCACAATCTTGAATAATAGGGTTTAAGGATCTTACCTTTCCACCAATGCAGCAAGTCAACAGGACAGCAAAAATAGTATAAAGGACGACGGCACCGGAAAGACCAGTGACGGCCTGTTGCCAGACTGGAATGTTGACATCGCGGTCAGCCTGTACAGCCAGGAAGTAGCTGTAAATGCCAAGGATGATTGCAGCGCAGCAGAACTCGAGAGCATAGATGGCGGTCGAGCCAAACTTCAATGCAGCACCACCGAAGCCCATGGTTGCGGTTGTCGGGTGTGGAGAAGAAAAGGGCGAGCGTTGTCTTAGGGAGTAGGCGTAGTATGCAGGGTGTGCGAGGATGAGGGATCAGGCCAAGTAGGGCATCAGGGCGAAAGGATTTATCTGTGTCTTGAAGATCTGTCTGGCTATGACGCAGCCTGAGGATGGGGCGTCACGTGATGAGGCGCACCGCCATGCTGGGCTGCCTTGTAAGGACAAAAGCCACGTCGATCTCGGAGCCCGTGCGTCACTCCAAGCCACGGCTAGACTGAACCCTGCTTTTCTCCTTCGTCCCGCCCAACCAACGTCATGGCGGTCGAAAAAGTCGACCCGACCACAGAGTCTAGCCACGGTGCCGAGTCTGCGCTTGCCATCATCCTGTTTTTGCTGCCCCTAACGTCACCTGCTCAGAGACCGCTTCGAGTCTCGACCAGCTCTCCGTTGCCTGTCCCTGGATTCCCTGGATACTCGACAAGCCCCAAGATGGCGGCGCCACAAAGCCACTCTCTCGCAGGTGGATGAGGCAATGCAGGCTGATGCCCCTGCATGCAGCCACCCGTCATCCCACCCAAGTGCCCCAACCCGTCTCGACGCTGTAGTGCACAGGCTGATATCACCATGTCGCAACCCTTTTTCTATGCATGCAAGCTACTTTTTCATTGTCCGCCGATTCATCCGCCAACCATGCCGCGATCGACGTCTTTCCACCCGCAAGCGCCATGCGAACTGTTGTCATACATACCGTACCCTACAACTCCCACGCTGCGTCGTGTCGCTGCCTGCCCTCCCCACCATGTTTGCGCCAATCTTTGTGATTGCTCCGAGGCGCGCTTGGCTACCAAACCTTAACTTCAACCTAGACATCTTGTTGGCCAGTATCAAACCCCTCGAGGCTGCCCGTGTCGTCACACGCACGGCCGATCCGCGCCAAATATCTTGCGCCAGAGGGCTGCCGTGCCAGCACACCGAGCTAGCCTCGTCAGGCGGTGCTTCAGCAACTCAAGATGTTGTGCTTCTACTGGAGCGGTGTAAATCATCGTTTAACAGCTGCAACCCTTTTATGCGTTACAGATATGCAATGTCAAGTTGGCCAGATGAAGCATTCGCGCTGTGCACTGGCATTCGGTACACCCACAACACACCAATTGCAAATTACCACCTGCGTTGAATATTAGCGTTTCAACAATTTTGCATCAACTAATCAGGTACCGTTGTGGTATGGTCACAAAGGCAATAGTGCATGCTAGGGTCATGCAAGATCAGGTCGTGAGCAGTAGCTTCAACCATACATCTCCGCCTGGATCATGTTCAACCAACTCCATGTGGACCATCGTAGAAAAATCGTCCATACTCATTCCCTCCACACCATGGTATTTGATGCTACTTATTTTCCGTGCAGAATAGTCGTCTATGCTCTTCCCACCATTCAAATTTGATTGTTTTCAGGGCTAGAGGCTAGTTCAAGTAATTCAAGTACAGTTTGCTATGGGTCTTTGGTATGGACGAAAATTGGCTGCTATCTTACTAAGTAGTCAATCCACTGGGTAGCCACGGTAAAGCTTAGATATTGTTGTCTTCTGCATCTCTTCAGGCCAACTTCACTGGTGTCTTGGTAGACTGGGATTGTGCCAAAGTGGAGACAATGAAAATGGGCCATCATACCACCAAATTCCTCTTTCATATTGGCCCAAATCTTTTGAACGATTCGCATTGTCATACCTATGTTCTGCATCTAATATGGAGCTTATCAGCATTTATAGTCCATACAATTTAAGCTATCAATAAGATTTCTGCAGTGGGAAACTCAACTAACCAGCTCTCTAAATCTCTTGACAGGAAAAGGTCTTTCGACGTTTTCCATGTGACACTACAACACACCACAATATACCTTAGTACACAACACTTCCTAAGGTCATTATAGTAGCAATACTCATCAAGTGCATAGAATCAATCAATCGTATCAGGGCACTCTGTCCAAAATCAAACAATCATGCTCAGACTCACCTTTCAAGAGTCGCATCCGGTGACTTTGAATACTCTAACAGCTGTATACAGTTTCCTAAAAGAAACCTGCAAGATTTTCTTCTTCAACCACATTCAATACTTTGTATCAGTTTTCTTTGATAGGTTCTAGATAATTATCAGTGCAAGGTCTTCACTGCACAAAGTCTCACAACAATCATAGGCACCAAAATCTATTGGACTGCACATATCGCTGGATTAAGTATTTAGCAAGACAAAGATTCCGTTCACACGATAAACACGTTGTTAGGTTATCGTGGTATGTTACACAATTCTTTTGAGTATACTGATCATCGCCATCTCCCCCCCCTTGAAATACTTCCTTGAAACAGAATAAATCTTCATATGAGTTTTGATATACTTGTATTCCCTACCTACAGCTCAACTTGGACATAGCCTTGTTATGCCTTCCAATATCTAAACTGAATTTGCTGTACTAGGAGATAATGCTTCTATGATGTAATATTACTTATTTCCAAGTACGAAAAGTTAAAGAAGCCACCTTTACTATGACCAAGAATATAAGCATAGGGTTTAACACAAAACCAGTTCTGAAGTGTTTGGTCGCTGCGAAACAAAGATGCACCATCTGAAGCGTGACTCTCCCAAAGGTCTAGAGATAAACCAAGGATTCAAGTCTCTCTAGTTCTTGTTTCAAATCGACTTTTCAGATATGGTATCCTTGTACTCTATCACTTGTTTAGCTATCCTAGTATTCGCATGTCATTATACAGTCCGAATCCAGTAATATATCCCTACTTGCCATCACTTAATCTTCCATCCACTCTGCCTAGATAACAGATCCAATCCGGTATGCTAAGATGTTAGAAATACCCGTCTTTAGATAGCGCCAAATTATGTAATGAAGACTCAAATCTCCACCAGAGGAGTTAGAGTAATTAGCAATTACAACAGGGAAAAGGGAGAGTAGCAAAAAGCCAAGAATTCACCTTTCTTCAGCGCCAATTGTGGGCTGTGATCATCATATTTACCTGTAGCACACAACACTAGGTTTCTGTATTAGACCCGCGGCACTCGACGAGTACTAAGCTGCGAAATGACTAGAGAACGTTTAATGACAACACTAACTCTACATAGTATCAATCGCTCTCAAATAACTAGGTAGTTGCCCAACATCTACCCGGACAGGCCCTTACACCCAGAGTTGCGTTAACAGAGGCGTAGTGCCGATGTCATATCACGTGACGAATGACCCCGCGTGTGCTCATCCCAGCTCAGGCCCACGTATGCCTCACCAACACACCTCTTGTGGGAAGTTGTACGCATAAAGATGGCTACTAATGACAACACGCCAGTTTGTCCAGACTGGGTCTTCTTGAATAACTCCAATGTCCAGTGAGCATAGCATGGGCCGACCGCCTAGACAAGCACGCGACTAACACTAACCAGCGTGGCGAAAGATCGAGGCTGGTTCAAGACTTACACTCCTTTTACTTCTCAGATCCAATCGTCTCTGTTCTGTTCGCCTAGATATCTGCCTGTGTTAGGAGTTGGTACTGTGGAGATTCCAACCAAACAAAGCTCAAGGAAGTCTGGTGTAGCTAATCACGGTCATCTGCATTTGAAGCAGGTCTTACATGTGCCCGATTTCATCTGCAACGTCATTGGAAGATCACTTATGACCTCGGATGGCTATGATGTACAAATGCGAACCAGCAAAAGGTCAAAGGGAGTGATCAAAGACAGCCAGGGCAAGAGCATGGCGTTACTCAACCATAATGTATCGCTCTACACTATCACAGTCAGAAACCGGCCTGAAGGACCGAAACTGGGTCCGCATGTATTTTGGAAAAACGGAATGTACATGATCAGCTGTTATTGGGTACACACTGAAGAGAAAAGATGTTATTGGGAACCCAGTGAAGAGCAAAAATGGCTGGACTATCAAGCCGGGTATCATATCAACGACTTGGAGTCAGAATCAGAGTCAGAACCGATAGGCTCTAGTGGCGCAAGTTCGCTGTCTGCAGGCTCCAATCCGCCGTACACAAAGGGCGAGAAAAGGTACCTCAAGCGTATCTGGGGCTGTGAGTCCGAATTCCTCACCGAAAATCATCTCGATTTCTGGGAAGAAAGTCACCGCCAAGAGGGCAGATTGATACTGCGGGAATCCATACGTGAACCAGTTCTCAACGGAGAAATGCCGAGTGACGAAGAATCCGACGACGACGAAGAAGCATCAGAGGAAGAAGAATCAGACCTGGATTTTGAACAGGAGGATCCTTCAGTGTTCACTAGTGAAGAGCTTAAATGGATCTGCGCCAACTACAAGGACAGTGACGCGTTCATGTGTTCGTATGGGCTGGATAGCGATGACTATTGGGATCGCATGGATGCAAAAATAATAGTAAATGAACTCGTAAGCCGAGAGAAGCGGTTAAAGTGCCATGGAACGTGTAGATGTCGGTATGGAGGCTTCGCTTAGCAAAACACCCAAATGAACTTGGTCGCATGTCTACCAGCCAAAGCGCCTCTTTCTATTAGCTTAACGCTTCTTTTATGCTCGTTCAAGTCATGTAACCTATCATTTACCCCAAATTTTCTTCTGGTGAACCTATCAACAATAACATAGTTCGTTGACACATATCCTCTAGCTTAATATCACAGCAATAACTTGTACAATCTGCTACGTATAAACACACCACATCTTACTTTGAGAGTTTAGGTACCATTCAATCAGCTGGAATGTTGGGCTTGTTACGTATTATGAGAAAGATAACATGCCATGTCTCTCGGTCGGTACATATGCCTGAGCTTTGCTTCCCCATTCTCATGAATGAGCATGAATGAATCTGATACAAGCATAGAACAAGACGACTTATATGCAAAACGTGTTATAGGAAGAATTGATAAGTCATGGCTTCGTTGAAACAGGATCTTTTTCTACATTCATCCAACATGCTCAAAATTTCTACGCTGCTCTCCGCAACTTAGCCAAGGTAGCCTTGCCAGCTCTGCTTTCATTTGGCCTTCCCAACTCCTCAGAAATCCACTGACCTACTTGGGCAAGTTTCTCAATATCCACACCAGTGTTCGCTCCCAAGCTATGAAGGCAATGGACAAGATCTTCCGTGGCCACATTCCCAGTTGCCCCCGGGCTATACGGACAACCTCCAAGACCGCCCACTGCCGCATCAAAGGTGCGAATTCCATGCTCAAGAGCTACGACTGAATTGACCAACGCCTGACCGTATGTGTCATGGAAATGGAGTGCGAGGTCGTTTTTGTCGATGCCAGCGGCGTTCAGAGTTTTCAGAAGCTCCATCGTCTTGGGTGCAGTACCCATGCCCGTAGTGTCTCCTACCGAAATCTCATCGGCACCCATCTCCAGTAGACTCACAGCCAGCTCTGCCACTTTGTGAGGATCGACGTTGGGACCTTCGTATGGGCAACCGAGTGCAACCGAAATGTACGCGCGGACATTTAGGTTCATTTCCTTTGCTTTGGACATGATTGGCTCAAAGCGCTTCAGGGATTCTGCTATGGAGCAATTTGTGTTCTTCTGGGAAAAGGACTCGGTAGCCGCTGTGAAGATTGAGACTTCGTGTCTAGGTGATGATGGCGAACTTGATGCTTCAGTGTGCGAGGATGCGTTTGAAGCTGATTCATTATCCGGTCCTGGAGAAGGTGGGGGCGTTGGGTATGCATCTTGGCCAGAGTGGGACTTGGATTGCCAGGTGGAGAGGAAGTTGTCGAGTCCTTTGACGTTTGGCAGAAGCCATTGGTATATGATTGGTCGCGGCGAGGTAGGGGGACGAGAAAGGACATGTTCGAGTATCTCTGCCGAATTGGCCATCTGGCTTTGCGGTCAGCAAAGCTTGAGCAATTGTCAAGACGCTTCTCTCTCACCTGCGGCACCCATTTTGGTGCAACGAAAGAGCCGGCTTCGATGGTTGTCAAGCCGGTCTTTGCTAGCCTCTCTACCAAGTCTATCTTTGTGGCCAGCGGCACCGTCTGCTTCTCATTCTGTAATCCATCGCGTGGCCCAACTTCTACAATGCGAACGTGGTCGGCGCGGCTAGAGGCGGCTGAGGCAAAGGCTCGTCGATGGCACGGATAGCGCGCAGCAAGACGCGCAGAGCGGAGGCAGAGAAATTTGGAAGACATGAGAGCAACGGCGAGGTGTCGGCACTTGTATTGGATGAAGAAAAAGACGATGCAATGACGTGCATAGCTGTTAAACTGTTTGTGGGGTTGATGTTTGCGGGGATGCTTTCACCGAGGCGAGGTGGAGCGAGCTTGCGCATGGACCATGTGTCCCTCTCTCCCGAGTCCGTTTGCCCCATGCGCTACAAAGCTTACTGGAGAAGTTGCACATGGCTACCATGGCAGAGCACCTGCGAAGCCCACGCCGTACGGCCTTGCAAGCGTCTGTGTGTATGCACACATGCAATGTGTCATGGATTGCCGCTGCCGAACGCACTGGCGCCATGCAGCCTGACGTGTTGACAGACTGCAGCTATAGACGATTCCGTCGACTGTGTATTACTACCATTTTCTCATTCTCCTTCAGCTGCACCGTTGAGATGCATCGGTGAGGTCGAGTTGCGCGTACAGGCATATATTGCGGAGACCGAGGGCTCCGTCTTGACCTGAACAAGTTCGTCTGACCAAATTGTCCCCACTGTCTACCGGCTGCTCAGACTACACAGTCGATGGCGACATTGCAGTTTCCACAAAACACGAAGGCCTGAACGCTTTGAAGTCGAAATTACCTGTGCATGGTGGGCGGAGCTAGAGCGGTTCGAGCTAGTCGCCGAAACTACCTGCAGCGCCATCAGCCGTGTCCAATAGTCCGTTTACGAGGGATATATGCAACCATCTAGCGGATCTTCACACCCAAGTACTTAAGTAGGTACATATATAACTATGTCAGACCCTGGCTACTAAACTGGTCCTGCTACTAGTATGCCGCTTCGACAGCTTGTCGCCTGTGCTTATGCGCATTTTCGGCAGCCGAAGGCATTCAGCCCTGGGACAGGACTGCGGCTGGAGCCCATGGCCCTGTGCAGTGGGCCCCATGGTTGGTGTTTTCCGCTAGCTCAGGAAGCATGTGAACAAACAAAACAGAGGGCTCCTCGGAGCTTTGGCTGACTTTCTTACTGTAGCCGCCGGTTGTTCAAGATGCTGGGCTTAGTACGCTGGCCGTTCCCACCAGAGGACCACTCTGGCCATGGCGACGTTGATCATCATCCTTGACACAGCACGCGAGTCTTTGTCGAGCGAGTCAGCCTCGGCTGGCGTATGATTGTGTAGCTGTCTGAAGGGTCTGTTGTCGGACCGGGAGTAGTGCAAACAAACCTGGCGGTGGGAAGCGAAAATGTTCAGATTGTGAATGGCGCCGGGAGAATTGTTTCGGCGGAGATTAGAATTGTAAATAGGTGACCGTGACCCGCTCGGTACGAGTCTAGTGCCACAAGTTGGTAACATTTTGTCTAGTCGCAGGCTGCGGACGCACTCCGATCCTCAAGCATTTTAGGTTTCAAGTTGCTGGTGGCAAGCGGTCTCTTGCAACGCGGTAGCCCGGGACTGACCTGCCAGCGTATCTAGCCATTCCAGCAGCCGGGCGCTGGAGGTGCAAGATCTAGAGGGATGGCGTGGCATGGAATCAATGGGGCCCACTGGGAGCAGTGGGCACCCAGCTGTAGGAATGTAGTTGTGTGCATGCTAGGTACATGGAGTACATGTGTACATATGTATGTACATAATTATGTCAAGGGCGACAGGCGGGCAGAGCAGGGCAGACAGCGCCAGGCGCGCCGCCAGAGGCAGCGAGCACACATACAGCAGATGGTGTAGCAGAGCAGACGGGCCCAGATCAAGTGGGCAAATGCGGTCTGTGGCATCCATTCGTATCCACCCATATTCTACCCCGCGTATGGAGGCGTGGGTGGGCAGGCGCATTGACGAGGGACATTTGGCCAGGCACAGAAGGGGCGACTAGCGACGAGTGGTTTGGGAGAGGCCGCTTGGCTAGCAGGAGGGACAGCCAGCAGGTGATGGCAGTCTGGAGTTGCTTGTTACCTGAGACAAATCGTTGAGTGGTGGAGCGTAGCCAACATGCCAAAGGAGCGCATGTCGCCGATGCAAGTGTGGCTTGGCGCTCACGTGCCCAGCTGCGCGACTAGCCTGAGGCAGACCATGGCAATCGGTCAAAAGACGCAATTCGCTGTCGCTGACGCTGACGGACAAGGCTGGCCAACGCCATCTGGGAACAGACGGGACGACGTTGTTATGACCGGCTGGCCACCCCCGCTGCTTCTTAGCAGACGGTTTCGGCACACGTGCGGGCCGGAGCCAGGGCGACGGTGTTTTGCACGGAGAGGGGCGAGGGGTGAAGGCTGAAGGCTGAAGGATACTGGACTTGGACAGCGAGGGGGCAAGGGGGGCACGCACGTCAGCGCAGAGCCAGCGGGGTTTTGGCTGTGCCTGACGACAGCGAGACCAGACGCGAGCATGTTGGTGGATGCAGAGGCGGTGGCCGTGGGGGCGGCAGGGCGGCAGGGCGGAAAGCCGATGGTCATATCGCACTCTCATCAGGCCCGCATGGCTGTTATCATCGCGCACCACAGCCACGACCGGGGCCGACGACAGCGGTTTGTGCCAAGGCCACGACCGCCAACGCGCCTTGAACTGCCAGCCTGACGAGCGCCAGACAGCAGGCGGACAGCAGGCGGACAAACAGCCACCTGCACTGGCTCCATGCCTCCATGCCTCCATGGCACCCCCCCGGGCATTGCGTGCAGCGCTGCACCATGGCATGATGCACACGACCGCACGCCCGCCGTGGTCCTCGATGTCATTGCAATATCCGCGCCCGCCGTTGCACGTCTCGCTTTGGGCCCTCGCCTGCACCAGGCCTCAGATTGCACCCCTCGAGCGGCACGCCGGCCACCACGCGAGCCAGAGGCCGTCTCGTCGCCCTCCAAGCCGGCCACACAGGCGTCCAGGTGGGCGAGCGCAGCCGTTCACGCCCTCCCGCTTGGCACAAGGCTTCAGCGCGGGCGGCGTCTGCTCGTCCGCCCGCCCTCTTCCACACGGCTTCGATGCGTCTTCGTCGACACGGCGGCACACTCGATGGCTGGCCTCGGTCGGCTCCGCGACAGCGCTTGCGCGAGGTCATTCGCCCGAGTGGCCGCGCTGGACCTGACGCTATCAGCGCGCTGGCGGTGCAGCAGCCGGCAGCACCACCAGCCAGGCCACTCAACGCCTTGCCCTCACCCCCTCCCCTCCACCACCACCACCACCACCCCCGTCTGCACCGTGTGTGTGCTCCCTCACTGGCTGACGTGCCCTGGCTGCTCCGACCTTAGCGGCCGGTAGCAGATCGGGGGGGCGCTGTCGCTCTGGTTGGTGCATTCTCCGTGGCGTCCAGCCCTCTCCGTCCTGCAGCAGGCCTCTGTCGCCATCCTCCGTCAAGCTTCTGCCGGGGTGCCACCATTTTTCCACGATGTAACCCGACCTGGCTGTCCCCGTCGCTGCAATTCGCCGTCCCGGTGTGGGGTGTGGTAGGGGTTGCCACTGCCCAAAGCCTTGCGCCCGCTGCCAGAACATGCGGGCACCAGGCCTGCTCCCTGCCGGCCACATCCTTCATGCACATCGCTCTCGAGATGACCACCTCTCGTCTTAATATCCTAGCGTTCACTATGCCGCGGCATTTTGCATCCTTCTTCCCTTGGCATGCCGAAGCCCTGTCCGCTAGGGCCCTGACCTTATCAGACGGGGACCAAGCTTGCTTTACCCAGACCTGTCGAGGCCAAAATAATACTTACCCACCGTGACGCGCTTCTTCTATGCTCCATTGAGCATTACTGCACCCCTCGCTGTCTTTGTCTGTTCTGTTTCCACTCTCACTATACTATACTCGCTCCACGTTCTGCAGATGCAACATTGCAGAGTACCGCAATAACACCACCTCTTTTATACCTATCCCACCATGGCCCTCTCTCCATCCACCACTACCGCTACCGCCACCACCCAGCCCGTCGAGGCAGACAAAGTTCAAGGCACCACCACCACCAACCCTTCGACCACTGTCGCCACAGTCAACAACTCCGCTGCTGCTGCTCCAAGAAAGCGAAGAAGAAGAGCTCCTGCCACGGGAGCCACCGAAGACTGCTTTGCCTGCAAGAAGCGTCAAGTCAAGTGCGATCGCCGCCGTCCCTACTGTGGACAGTGTGTCGAGATTGGAAAGGAATGCTCTGGTTACCGTACCACTCTAACATGGGGCGTGGGTGTGGCTAGCCGTGGAAAGCTTCGTGGCATGACCCTGCCCGTTGCAAAGTCTCCTCCCTCCACTGCCACACAGGAACCCAAGACACAACGGATGAACTCGATTACTTCGACTAGCACCTCATCCGTCTCCTCGGGTTCCCACCAGGATCAACATCACTTTGGCCACCGAGCCAGTCTCGACTTTGGCGCCCACTCTCCGAGGAGTCCTACCAGCCCCATCTACTCGGCGCCACAGGAATACCAGTACTTCAGCCCCACCAGCCCAATACCCATCCCCACCCCATCTACGCCAATGGGCTTCCCCATGCAGCAACATCGAGACCAGTTTGAATTCCTGCACCCACAGGCTTCCAAGTTCAGGCATCACCAGCCCCATCGAGGTCCCCTCCAACGGTTGCAAACCACACTGCATGTTCCTTTTGAAGACAATGGCATGTCGGCTTCATCCGCCTCCCTGGGCACCTACAGCGACAGTGACTTTCCCTCGCCAAGCGAGTTCCCAAACACCCCAGTCGACGAGTACCCCTTTGCAGACCCCTCAATGCCACGCTACCCATCATACGACCACGCCCCCATGGGCTCCCTGGACAACTTCTTCCTCAACGAAGCCCCTCGCTCATTCCCCACTGGGGATGACATGAGCTCCAGTGTAAGCTCGGATCAAAGTCTACAAGACTATCCCGAAGTCAGCACGGCCCCGCAAAGCATGGGCCCTGTTATCTTTCAAGATGTTTTTACCGAGGGAGAGATGAGCTCGAATTTCAATGGATTTCAGTCTGGCTTTTCCTTTCTCCCGTCGGAGGGTATGTCTTCCTATGGCTCTGGCCCCCTGTCTCAAGACGTGCTGTCGCTCACCACTTCTATTCCTCAGAGTCTTACCATCGCTTCGCCTCTTTCCCCGCGGATGCTATTCCTCCTGGACTACTACGACAGATTTATATGCCCGGTGTTGGTGGCTTTTGACAGCCCACAGAACCCCTACCGGATGCACATACTACACTTGGCCATGCAGAACGAGGAGCTGCAGAATGCCATTGGCGCTTTGGCCACGAACAACATGCGCATGCGCGGGGGCATTGAGGGACGCCGCGTTAGCGTGCTCCACGACACACGACTGATACCAGATCACGCCTACTCACAAATGACGGCCAAGGAGTTGCGCGAGATGCATGGCGAAGCGACCGACGAAGAGAAGCACTACAAGGCCAACTCTATTACTCTGCTCAACAAGAAGCTGATCGACTTTGATGGATCGCAGGACGATTCTGTACTCGCCACGCTGCTGATTCTCTGCCTCTTTCATGTTTGCGACTCTGGCTTCACAAAGTTCAAAACACAGCTTGCAGGCGTGCAGAAGCTTCTGAGCTTGCGCGACCGGAGCATCCAGTCGGAGTTTGTCGGATGGATTGAGACCTTCTTCACTTGGTTCGATGTCATGACGGCAGCGGTGAACGACCGGGAGATTGAAGTGCGTGGTGACTCGCTTGACATGATGAATCTGAGCGCCAATCTGGGTGCGCTAGAACACCACTCTGGCTGCGAGGGCCGACTCTTCAAGCTCATTGCTCGGCTTGGAAGGCTCAACCTTCTCAGCCAGAACCGGCCTGTACGCGACAACGACGACACGCCTACATCGTCACCGCGGTCTAAGAAGGTCAAGGACTTTTATTCCTTTAGTTTTGACAACATGGACGGTAATGGTTGGGGCACGCCTATTAATGAGCATGTCGATCCCTTCGCATCGGCTCGCGACGATGCTCGCTCTGCGTTCTGGACTGAGTGGAACGATCTGCGGGTCCGGCTGCAAGAGTGGGAGTTTCCATCACCTGGAGAAGTGCATTCGAATTCCTGCGACGCAACATCGTCGATGCTTGTCATGTCTCCCGAGCAAGCTGCGTTGCTCCACATTAGCGAGAGCTTCCGCTATGCAGCACTGCTCTACACTGAGCGCCTTGCGCAGCCAACGCTGCCACCATCGTCACTGAATTTTCAGAATTTAGTCGCGCAAGGGCTCTATCACATTTCGCAGATTGGCATGACGAGCTGCGTCAACAAGTTTCTCCTGTGGCCACTGTTTATCGTGGGCACCGAGTGCGTTGATCCCGAGCACCGCGCGGTTGTACGACAACGATGCGTGGAGATTCAACGCGAGAGCGGCTTCTTCAACAACCTCAGTGGGCTAGAGGTGCTAGAGCGGGTATGGCGCGAGGACGACGAGTGGTCAGATGGTGATGTCCACGTGCCAAGGCAAAACGGGCCTTTTAGCACAGTGCAACATCCGTTCCGATGGAGAAGAGCCATGGATCGCGTGGACGGGGAGTACATTGTGATTTGATTTGATTTGGGCTGAGCTTGCTGGATACAAGCAGTACGAAGGCTACGACGAAGAAACGGGGCATGAGAAAAAAACATTATGATTGGGGGTTTGGGCATGCATGGACTGGGCGGAAAAGCTAAAGGGTTTTCGGCTCTGTGAGGAGTTTTGTTTCATTTTTCCTTTGTATATTGTGTGTGTGTGTAGCGATATTCCAAAGGGCGATATTTTTGCGCAGGCTCAGTTGCAAGCCGCCGTGCATCGAGCAAAAGCTTGTAGATGCATACCCAGATACGTAGTAAACGAGTTCAACAAAATGTATTACTAGTCAGACGCCAGGTTAGAGAAGAAGGGTGGTTGTGCTGGGATCGCGATTGTGGGCCAGCATCGCACATGCAGTCTCCCCACGTCGATGCGAGGCTGTGCAAGTGATCATGGCCGACGCAGCTGTAGTAGATGCAAACGCCCTGAGCGCAGCGGTCCCCAAGCGCAGCTACCTACACAGGATTTGCGCAGTTGCCGGGCAGCCATGGTGGTGCATGACGCCGCAGATCCGTCGTGTTGCGTGACGGGTGTGGATGCAGGTGTGTGTGTGAGTGTGTGTGTGTGTGGGTGGGTGGGTGCTTGTGAGAGTACGAGAGTGCGGTGCTAGACGGGGCGCCACATGCAACGTTCGATCTGCGTCGAATACAGCCGTAGGATCGCGTGCTGCGTGCCCTCGTCGTCGTCGATTCTTGGCTCTCTTCGATCGTCATGGCCTGGGCCGGCCAGTCAGGATGCACACAGGGTAAGCAGGCAGCTCCAGCTGATGGCGCACATCATGTCAGCTACACTACTGCTCCTAGGCGCACCCAGGTGTTCGCGGCGATCAGGGTTTACGGGGACGCATATCGGCTGTGTCCACCCCTCTTGAGCTCTAACGCTGATTGCTGACAACTGAGGTTGCTTGGGCTGGCCATCCCCCCGTAGGCGAGAGGCGGGGCACGACCTCTATCCGGAGCCACCCATGAACAGTTTCCACGGAACCCAGTCACACCCGTGCGACAGGGGAGCGGCCCCATGTCGTGCTTCTTTGAAACTTTTTCGGTCGTTTTGCTCGGAAAATGGTAGGTTTGCCGCCTCTCCCAGCTGCCATTGCTGAGGCTGAGAGTGGATGCCACATGTCCCAAGCGCACCGTACCACAAGGCTGAGCGTGAGCCTCGTGCTTGGACACGTATACGCACCCGCCCATCTACACATGCTCGCGCACGCCGGCTCAGCTTGCCCGCAAAAAGAGATCTACGCTGATCTCTGCCAGGTACCGGGCATCATCATCCACCACTGCCACTGCCACTGCCACTGCCACCGCCTGGAACATTGGTATTTCGGGCTAGGTGGCTAGGTCACCTCGGCAGCACATGCAACTACCTCATTCGCTGCGGCTGTCGCTGGGTGTATATCAGTATCCACTCGTAGCGACATAGCCCGGATTTGGTTTTTGCGGGGGTGGGAAGAGTTAGCGATGCATCAGGACTAGCACACGGCACCCTGCTTCCCCCTCCTCAAAAAGAAGATACCAAGGGGTATGTGATTCATGTCGACGGGGCAAGACACCAAAAGAGAAGCAAGCTGGCAGCTTACACACCCTCCGCGCACCTCACTGCCTCAGCGTTGGTTGCGTACCCCGCTGTCGTACATGGCCAAATTTCAGGAGAAGGGCCTCCTCTACACCATCGCATTGTTAGACTAAGTGGTCCAATCTCCGCGGCAGACAGGTTTCAGCCAACGGGAAACGTCGCTACGAGACAGATATCCAAGGCCAAGATGTTTCGCCTGGATGCTGCCCTCGGTGAAAGCGGAATTACAATGCCCGTACTAGGCGGCCAATTGCATCCTCGAACGTGTGACGCGTTTGTCGGTCAAAGCGCGCCTTAAAAATAGTGCGAGTTACGTAGGTACCTGGCATTTGAATGCGTGGGGTGAGATTTGGAAAAAGCATTGAATACTGTACCGGCGAGACCGACTGGCTGGCCCAACGTGCGGCCTTGGAAGTTAGCAGTGAAGATCGCAATGTTAAGGGAACGTTACATGTCTCTCACAACCTGTTATTTGCGTACACAATAACAGCCACTACGAGTTCAGCAATAGGCCTCGCTTGAGAGTCCTTAGTTACGCCAGCCGCTCAGAAGGGTTCTTGGCAACTCCGCGCCGGCCGTCAGGCCCAATTGTGGCATTGGTCTAGCGCCAAAAGGGTTCGCCTTTTGGGCCTTCAATGTCTCGCATGGCAAATCCGGGGAAGCAATTTTGTACGTAACACTGGCACTTTGCTGTCATGTGCTGCTCGCTACATAACCACCAAACAGGCGTGTAGATGCGTAAAGCCGCCCGAGGGGTGTGTGTGTGCCCATTCTCATAGTAAGTAGTACACTACCGAGTCGTCACGTTGCGATGGAGCATGGGGCCACTTGCACGCCTCACAAGGCAAGATCTCGGGGCGGGCCATTGCCAAAAAATCCACAAAAAGGCCCGACGGCAGACCTTCGGCGACTGCCTCTTGGTCCTCGAACGAGTCGGGCGAGGGATGCAGCCGTCGAATTGTCTCGCTGGCTGGCTGGCTGGCTGGAGTGACGCAATGGCCGCAGTGGCAAAAACATAGCAGATAACGTGAAGGCGCGTCGCCGGCGCATAATTATCCAGAGCCAAATTTGACATCAACGCGTCCGATGTCTCCGCGACAACACCGACCAAAAATTACTTGTCTCTTGCTATGCCTCTACTTTGGGCAACGCATCCGGACCTTTTTGCACTTGAGCCGGAGAAGGCGAATTCCGCAATATGAGAAAATGGGCCTATGTACTATATCAGATGCCAGGTGCTAGTCGTGTTAACTTGCCGCGATATTGTTCCGAGTCTAACGTCCCCTAATGAGTTGGCAGTCAAGACAACACAAAGGGAGCATGTGAAGATGCCGTTTGCAGCCCCAATACCCCTCCAGCCAGGGCACACGATGTCACCACAACTCGGGTTAAAACAAACATGTCCGTGCAATTGTGTCGTCATACGAGAGCTGATAAATTGAGCACAGACTGCTTGGGAGATACCTTTTACTCGGAAATCAAAGATGCCAAGCACACGACTCGACCACGCAAAGTGTATTTTTTTTAGAATTATTTTACTGGTTGCCAATTGGCTGCTCATTTGCTGGAAGGCGAGTGCATAGTAGTTGCCTCTGCCTCATTTCTCGTATACTTACTATAGTACGATGCAAAGCAGGACAACAGCAGGTGTTCAACCTCCTCTAATCTTAAGTGCTGTCATCTGGAAACCGAATCTTCTCCGTCACTGAGCCAAGACAATTCCAATGGCATCATTTTCAACATGCACTGATAACAGCAAAAAAAACTTCCAAATGGTTGAGCTATGGCCTGCCGTTTTGCAACAAGGCCGTTGAAGCTCAGACCTCTCGCGTAGATATTTGCGGTTCACTCTCCGTCATGCCCATCCATCCTTATCAGTGGTCCTTGCTTCTTACTATCCCATCTCAACTTGACCTACATACAGACATATGCAGGTTCTGTAGAACAATCAGTTCATTCACCTCTACCTGTATACATGCATGCATGTGTTTGTGTGTGCTGTGTGCAAGAGTCGCGGTTATTGTCTGCCGAGCTGCAAGCGCAAACGCAATTAGTAGTACGAATGGGGGCCGGCATTCCAAAACAGCCATTACTTTGCGCGGCTCAAATCTCTTGGAAGCCTTGCCATCCTTGGTCTGCGCCCCAACCGCCGTAGCCTTCTTTTTTTACGCCCGTAAAACCCATTGCTGTGAGATCACGCCACACCGCCTGTTGTTGTTCAGGATAGCTCTAGGTGTCCCCACATACATTTTGTTGCCAAAGGAAATGGTCATGACTGCTGGGCGGGCGACCGGCGCAATAACATTCCGCCCGAAAAACTAGGACGGCCCCTCCAACATAGCCCGTCATACCTCGCCGGCCAATGCCATCCATTTCTAGACGCGGTTTTGTAACTCAAGGATAGCTTGCAACACTAGTGCACCGAATGTTCGATTCGAGAGCCCACATGCATGGTACGGGCATGAAGCTCAATTTGTACAAGGCTGTGCAGATAACGTGCAGATATGTAGCCGCGGGAGGTAAACCGCTTGTGGAAAGCTACAGGTCGCCGGCTGCCCAGCTGCATGCAGAGAGGCACCTCTACCATAGACGAGGCCTCGATCTCCGTGCGCTCGATGATCGACGAGTTCTGATATTAACTCTAGGCCACAATGTCCAAGCACTCACCTCTTAGTGTCTCGAACGAAGCTCGGAGAAGACAATGCCACGACAGGCACTGACTGATCGACTGGTTTGACACACACATGAGACCCTGCGCGAACGCTGTCAAACTTGTCAAACGGGTCTAGGTAGGCCTTGAGACCTGTACCCACCAGGACCAAACTTCTGGAAGTCACTCACCTGGCAGTGATTGGCGGACGAAAAAGAATAGAATACACCGCGAGAATGCCATGACGTTTGACTAACGGATGTATGTACAGCAGAATACGAGCAAATCCTACTAGAAACCCCCATGGTAATACCCACAGATAAGCGTCTTGTTGCTCAACACCATCAAATCCTTCCGCCAGGTTGCCATGCCGCCATAGCCTCCATCAACATCGTCATTCACACTGTTAGAAACGAAAAGAAACTTGGTACCTGAACCCATACCCATCAAAGTAACTTTCCAGACGGTCTTGTTTTCGCACGCCACCCGCGATTACGCCTTACTCACCTTCTCTCTTTCAACCATGTCCTCCGAACACGTCCTTGGAGAAGGCCGATTACCCCACACACGCAGTAACACAGCCACTCACGACTCTACGCGCACCTACATCGGTATCATCCTACATCTGCATCAATAGCTTAATCGATAGCTCCCTTTATGCAATGTGATTGTGCCTGCTTCACCCGCTCACACCTCCTGTACTGCACTAACTTGTCTCTCTCTCGTATGGTACACTCGGCAGCCAAACTA